AAATAAATAAATAAACAAATAAATAAATCATTTTTTGTGTCTTTCCAGCGAATAGCTGTTATTACAGTTTAAGTGAACCCGCAATGAGTTATTCTTTTATTTAAGAATCATCCAAGTGAGTCTGTCGGGTCGATACAATGCTTGCTGTATAATTTTGCTGCATCCATAATACAGTCTGTTATTCGGGAAAGGTCTATTTTACCTGTTTTATCTTGAGTAGAATATTATCAACAGCGGTGTGTGTATAACTAGTCAACAGTACACTTTTCCCTCTAGCCACTAGTATCTGCACCAGTCGTGCTATGGTTGTTGTTTTACCAGTTCCTGGCATACCAAGGACCAACGTATAATCTTCAGCACACAAAACTTTTAGTATGGCTCGCTTCTGGTCCTCGTTGAGGTCTTGCATTAGGGAGTCAACAACGGTGTCCTGGTACTTGGGCGTGCCGCTGGAGGCCTGGGATCTAGGCGCAAACATCAATTATGATCACGTGATAAGGACGAATTGATTAATTAGGACAAATAAGCTCTTCACGAATAGCTCTAATAGTGTGGGTCCAAACGCGCAAAAGATATTGGATCCAATAATTTAGGATATTATTTAGTGGGAGTAAGCTACCGCAAATCGGTGAGAAGCAACTAGACCCTTGAGCGTAATGTTTTCCAATACTCCAGTTTCGAGTTCTCTGTTGCTCAGGCTTAGCCTCGCTTTTGCGCCTAGAATAGTCATATGTTCCAGTGAAGGTCCTTAGGATTTCAAAGTATTTGCATTGTTAAATTTGTTTGTTTATTACTTTATTTGCAATTTGTAAATATTTATGACATTGATACGAGGCTAACCCTGAGTAAGGGTCTGTAATCAATGAACACAGCGGTAATTTGGAACTCGAAATTGGTCTATTTCAGACCACGTGTCATTCCCTAGAATATCATTTTTTCTTTGTTTAACGGTTGCACACGAGAAGACACATGAATATGGATGCAACTCAAATAAACAATTTGCTCAAGGGAATATCACGTGGTCTGGAGTGGCAAAACATTACGTTCAAGGTTAAAGGGTCTATCAAAACGTCCATTTAGTTACAACCGTTTTATTTTTGGTATTTTTATCATATTTCCACTTACGAGTTTGACGATGTCTGACTATCAATGTTCAGAGAACCAACAGAAGACTGGCTGCTAAAGTTGATGAGTGCTTGCCGACTACGAGCGAAGACAGGGGGCTTTAACTCGATAATCAATCGGCGAAGATCGGCGTTTCGTTTGGATTCTGTATTAAGAAGCTTGGCCACATTAGACCAAGGTGTGACTAAGCTGTTGTAACCTTCGTCTTTATCCAGACGATAAATAGGTGTTTGATCCATCATATCTGCCGATCTGTAGCTGAAATATAAACCAGAGATTGGGTAAAATATCTTCAATGTTAGCATTCACGAACCCACCCCAGAGCACTGAACTTCTCACTGCGCATGCTCGACGAAATGCCAAAGACTCGCGCCTTTTTGATATATTGACCAATCATAACGCTTGAATTCTAGGCATTTTGTCGCACATTTACAGGTGAGAATGACATAGGTCTGGGGAAGAGAGAACAATGTCGAAAATATCTAAGGCTAACTCCTGTGAGCTACACGGAAAACGTACTCACCCCTGATCTAATGATAATGCTTGTCAATAAAATCATAACACCGCTTTTGACAGCCATATAAACTTATGCTCTTTAAAAACAAATGATAACAATACTAATGGCTGTGTTCTTTTCTAGATCTAATGCACATACCAACCCTTGGTGGAAGGCGTAATGCTTAACTGGTTTTGCAACCCAATTGACAAGGATTTAGAAGTCGAGGAGAAACCGTTAAACCGGAAGTAAAACCGGTAAACCGGAAGAAAAACCGGTAAACCGGAAGAAAAACCCTCGAAGCATAGCAGAAAACCACCAAACAACTCTACTCACACACGGCACCAAGCATGGCAGGGCTCGAACCCGGGTCGCATTGGTGAGAGGCGGTGCATTAACAGCGACTAATAAATGTTCTATACTTACCATTTAGAGAGATCTCGGTCCAAAGATACAATCACTTCCTTTGCATTCACTTCTCTTATGTATCCTGCAGATCACATAAAGACTAACTGTGAAAGTTGCCCCAGTTATAAATTAGTAATTTTTCAACTTAAAGTGATTCATAGATTGCTTAGAGAGGTTTTGGTATGAGTGGTAAACATACGGAACTGACTTACACCACTTACGACATGTTGTAACATTAAAATGGCTTCCCATAAGAATGTTTGTGGTAAGAGTTGGAAACATACGGTACTGACCTATAGTACGTACACGTTACAACTTGGCGTAACATTAAAATGGCTTCCCATAAGAATGTTTATCGTAAGAGTGGGAAACGTACTGTACTGACTTAGATCAAGTACACGTTACAACATTGCGTAATATTGAAATGGCTTTCCATTGTCTCCCAGTTATTCAACCAATACAACGCCTTGTATTTTCCACATCGTTTCCCAATCATACAATCAAACATCACTATGAAAGTTATCAGTCACATGACCTTTACCGTGGGCCTGTTTCTAGCCACTTTACCTGTTGCCATGGCAATAGCACTTGATCGCTCTTCACTCACAACCACTCTATCTCCAGCACTAATAAGCATATCAACCAGAGGAGTCTGGGTCGGGTGGTCAGGTGACCTTTCAAAGCAGTGTAGATACACCCCAGTATTATCCATCTGATGATCACGTGATGTGTTCACCATTCCACTGAGACACTGGCCGAGCGCCTCTCGTTCCAGTCTCTCCATGCTCCAAATGAGGTGTTGACTAGATTTACCCGATTGTAGAATTTCTTTGCCTTCCAGACAAACCAGTTTGAACCAGTCCGCAAAATAACGCGTGTGGTCTGGGGACAAGTGTTGGGTGAGCTTGTCGAAATATTCCCCGAGGCCACTGGTGACGGGGTTGCCATTCTCGATGGACTTGTGGAATAAGGTGCAGTTCTGTGCTTGTGAACAGCGACTACAAGTGCGAAGATCCTTCAGCATTCCTTGGAAAAAGAAAACTTGTGTTGGAGTAAATATAAAAACATTCGTAGATTGTTATAAGTGTTTAAACGGTACTTCCTCATACAATAGGCCCTTTGCGGCTCAGTAATCACGTGCTGATTAATTCACTGAGAGCAAATGAATGAACATCTTGATTCCCAAGGGTGAAATATACTGGTGAGCAAACAAACTTTCTATAACCTGTTTCGAGAGATCGTAATAAGACTGCATTTCGTAACACACTGGTTACACATCGTTTCATTCAGTTCTTTACAAGTAGCTAAAAAGAATCACCAATTTAAAATAAAAAACAAAAAGTTTGATCTCCAGTACGGACACGTGACCGTTAGCTGCAGAGGGCTATTCCAACTTGAAAATTATACTGAAAATGAAAACAACTGGGCCAAGCAAAAGAAACCTCCTATAGACCCTTTGAATGTGACGTCTCGATCTGGGGGACAAAACAAAAGAATTCTCCTGAGAATTGAGAACCCATTGCTTTATCCTTCAGATTGAACTGCTTTCTAAAGTGCAGCAGGGGTCTATATCTTGGGGATAGGATGTTAGGTGTTTCTCTTTAATGGAATTCCTCTCCTTTATGTATTACACGGTGTTTTCTTATTCTTTTGTTGTGTTCAATTGTATTCAGTAATGTCGCACCCGCTAAGTAGAGCTATCGAGATTGGCCAAAACAAACAATAGCTTTCATTGTCGACTCGTTGTATTGTTTGTTTTATTATTATTTTTCTATCGTTTCTTGTAATATTGTATTCATCCAGTTGGGTTAGATCTAAACAGTACAGTAATGTCGCACCCGCTATTAAAGTAGAGCTGTCGAGATTGGTCAAAACAAACGAGTTTTCATCGTCGACTCGTTGTATTGTTTGTTTTTTTCTATCGTTTCTTGTTCTATCGTATTCATCCATTTGCCCGTATTCAACACACCCACACATTCCCAGCTAACAGTTAGTAACCGCTATACCTTACCTGGCATCTTCAGACCACCAGTTGTTCTGCTGAGGGAGAGATACCTTGCGACTTCATTCCGTCTCATTACTAAAGCTCTTTTCTCGTGTACCAGAGCAGGAACACCAACCATGTGTCCTGACTTCATGTAGTACAATAAACCTGAGTCTACTGGGTGGCGGTGACGATCAGATAGGAGAAGAGTGTAGAGGATGGCTTGAGCTCGGTGATCAACCGATCCTTCATTGAATAGCATAGGATTGGTTAGGATAGGATGGGATGGGATCAGATGGGGTAGGATGGAATGTGACAGCATGGGATGGGTTAGGAAAGGATGATATGGGATAGGGTGGGATATGATGGGATGGGATAGGGTGGGATATGATGAGATGGGATATGAAGGGATGAGATGGGATGGAATGACATGGGAAGTGATAGGGTGGGATATGTGATGGAACAGGGTGGGATAAGATGGGATGGGATAGAATAGCATCGGTAGGAATAGAATGGGGTTGGGTCATTATGCATTACGCATTAAACGTATACCTAGCTTGGAGAAAAGTCTGCCGGTCTTCAGTTCTAAAGGTATCACAGATGTCTCTATAGTGTTATCCTTATCAGGTCTGTGTCTTCTTATTCTGGGTCGTCTATCAATCTTCACCTCAACCGTCGCGTCTACTTTTCCTAAACGAAGAAATTGCCTCTTTAGAAGAAAATGTGAGAGTTGAACACATTGGTTGGCCGTTCATACAATAGCATTTTACTAATCACATTTTGATCAGCGCAGAGTTTGTTTCAGGGTTCGATCTGTGAGTTAGCCATGCCCTGACTTAGATCAGCTCAGAGGTTGTTTCAGGGTTCTATCTGTAAGTTAGCCATGCCCTGACTTTGATCAGCCCAAAGGTTGTTTCAGGGTTCGATCTGCGTGTTAGCCATGCCCTGACTTAGATCAGCCCAGAGGTTGTTACAGGGTTTGATTTGCGCGTTAGTCATGCCCTGACATTGATTAGCCCAGAGGTTGTTTCAGGGTTCGATCTGCGTGTTAGCCATGCCCTGACATTGATCAGCCCAGAGGCTGTTAACGGTATAGATAAAATGTAAAGGTTTTTTGCCCCATTTCAGCCAACTTACCTTTCAAGCCAAATCTCGGTGACCAGACATTCTCCTCGATGTCCTTCAGTTCTGATATACAAACACTTGGTTGTTCAGTGGAGTCAGTCTTATCACAAACACTTTTGTAGTCCATCAGACTAATATCAGGGTGTGGTAAAGGTAGAACGTATCGTTTGGACCACTCACTGAATGCTGGTATGCTCTCGCTTATCTTGTCCAGGGCGGTCACTTCAGACATACCAATGCTGTACAATGAGTTGAGATACGAGTGTTGTTGTAACATGTCCTTGGCCTTGGAGATGAGGTTTTCTTTGGAAAATTCTGTGGAAGAGCAAGCGTGATCAACGCGGAGACTTTATTTTGCGGGAAAATCTAATGCACCGAAGTTGCGCACTTCAGTTCTAGGTTTCACCGGGTTTACGCTTTATGTTTATGATTTATTTAACACCAGAAGTGGCCATCTGAGCCACTTGAAAGTCTAACCATTTGCATAGATGTAATTACGAAAGCTGCACTTTCTCCTCAGTTATTTTAAGACCCCTGAGTGTTGGTCCGGCCGGGGTGTGATCTCGAGAGCTAATATGTAGCCCGTAAAGTCCTCCACTGGTCATAAATGTAAAGCGCATTGAGACGTTGTATAACCTGAAGTCCGATACCCAATCAACAGAGCCAACGGGGTGAAGGACTCCGATGTGTCGAATCTTACCTTTTGCTTGCATCGCTTTATCAAACAAATCATGAAGCAAGGTCCCGATCAACATCGCCTCGTTTGTATCCTCTGTACGAAAACGTTCGTTTAGAATAGTTCTGCGCAAACATCTCGTTGCCCCGGCAACTGTCGTCCCGGAAACTAAGGTGTCGGGGTGTACCACGATGTATTGGTCTGTCTGGTTGTCAAGGATACAGATACCGGAAGTGACGTCAAAATCTCCTATAATGTAAAGCAGTAAGATGTTATGAATATCTTCATTTCTTTTACATTATTTGAAAAGGAAGGAATGAAAAGAATTTGTGGTCGGAGACGTAGAAGAACGAACGAAAAAATATATGAAAAATGAAAAAATAAATCGCAACAGACCCCTTGCATGAGACGTCAAAGGAGCTTACTTTGGAGGACAATTGGAAACCCTACGTTTTCCAAATTAAGCTGCGTTCCGACGTGCTGCAAGGGCTATAGACCTCTTTACCTTGGACGTAATCTTTTCTCATTACATATCATTCCCTAAAGTATAATTTCTTCGTTTAATTAAGTGTTGCGCATAACAGGACACAAAAATATGGATACAACCCAAACAAAGAATCTTATTCTCAAGGGAATGACACGCGGTGTTATATAAATGGCTAAATATTACACCCAAGGTAAGGAGAAATATTCAGCAGTTAAGGACGTTTATGGGCAAGAGATCCCATCGTCAGATTTTTTAAAAATTTTGCACAATGAAAGAACATCATACTAGAAGTAAAATAAGCAAATAAAAAATGAGGCTCCCCGACTTCGTTTAGCCGTCAGAATACGTGGAAGTTCACCCTTTTTATGGTAAAAACGCGCGAACGTAAACATGGAAAGCTGTCAAAAATTAATAATTTAAAAATATATATATATATCAATAATATTTTACTGAAAAAGTAAATTGATCGTGCCCATTTTCACGGAAGATTAGAAAATAGCCAAATAACTAGTTAGGATTTGAAATTTGTGTGTTTTGTGTGCTATAAGTGTGGACTTGAAGTCTTCGTGTTACGTCAAATTCTATTCCAATTATACACAAAATATGTAATTTCGGTTTTGGAATGACGTCATCGCGATGAGCGCGCGCTCACTATATTAATGCGTAGAAAGGTTGCGCGCGAACACTGCCCATGAAAGTCCTTGAAAGAATAAAAAAAAGTAATGAAATGAAAGTAACTTTCTTACCAGTCACATGCACAAGGTCTCCTGGTTCTACTTCAGTCGTCTCCCAGTCTTGTCTCAAGTAACAGTATCTTTCTTCAGATCTTCCCTCGTCAAAAAGGCGAAGCACCTTCTCAGACAGGACCCTGCCATATTTGGCCAAGGCTTCGTCTTTTTTTGCTTCTCGTCTGTAAACCTCTAGGACTAAAAACCGACGGTAGGGGGAGGAGTGGGGAGCATATTGTTGGAATAGCTTTGTTCTAAGGATAAAATAAGAAATTCGTAATTCAGAGGACATCAACAGGAAACGACAACATGAACTACAGTAACGACAACGGGTAGAGTGGTTATCGTATGAGATGGAAACATACAGCAGTGGCGGATCTAGGGGKGGGTTTTGGGGGTTGCAACCYYCCCCCCCCCCCCCCCCATGAGAGCCATCGCGATTTATTATTATTATTATTATTATTATTTTCATGACAATACCAACAGCATCGCGAGTTTTATTAAAACAGGGGTGCCGAACACATTTCGCTCGCTTTTTTTTCTATACGCCGCGTGTGGGACCTGAAACAACCATGCTCGCCTGCAGCAAATAATCATTATCATAAGACCTACTTCAGTTTGGGAACCCTGTGCTACTTTCCCGCCAAACAAGTACCTCAATCAATGCTACAACCCCCCTTTGAAAAAATCCTGGATCCGCCCCTGTACAGTACTGACTTACAACACATACACGGTACGACATGCTGTAGAGTGGTTTTGATATGAGTGGGGAACATACAGTACTGACTTACAACACGTACACGGTACGATATGCCGTAGAGTGGTTTTGGTATGAGTGGGAAACATACAGTACTGACTTACGACACGTACACGGTACGACGTGACGTAATGTTTTCCTATAAGCCATTGTGTGATTGCGAAACATACGCTACAGACTTAACAGCACGTACACGGTACGACATGCCATAACATCGAAATGGCTTCCCATAAGAATGGTTATCATATGAGTGGGAAACATACATGTCTAGAACTAAACGCCCAACAAAACTAATCGAGCCACACCCATCTTAAAGACGTGTTGCATTCTTATGTCATACCATTTTATGATCACAACGCGCACGCATCCCTGTAAGCAAACAAGTGATGAACTATATCACTTCATAATATATCGAAACACTGATTATTATTAATTCTAAAAAAGTACCTAAAGTTTCAGGGAAAAATGCAACTAAATGGATGGTCAAAACTCAATGACTAGATAGAATTTATTAGACATCTTAGTCTAAAACATTACGCCCAAGGTAAAGGCCTCTATTCAATATATAATGCTCTGAGATGGGAAAACATTACGCCCAAAGTAAAGACCTCTATTCAACCCCACCTATAAGTAACATACCTTGCTGAGTTCTTCTTCGGCATTGGTGACCACTCAACTCCATCCATCAGACAATCAAGCTCAACCCCAAGAAGACTATCACGTGATGCATTTGGTGAGTTTTTAGTGGGTGTCAGTAATGAAAGGTCTGTGATGAAGTGTCTGTCGTATTCCTTGATGGGTGTCTTCCCAGGCGTAATGGGTGTGGCTCTCAAAGTGTTGTCCAAAAGCAGGTGTCTGTCACTGTTATCACTGGGTGTCTCCCCAGGACTAATGGGTTTGGTACTCAAATGTTCATCCAAAAACAGGTGTTCCTCACTATCTTTAGTGGGTCTCTTTCCAGGGGTAATGGGTGTGGCACCAAATTGTTTGTCTATCCACTCATTTTCATGTCCTTTGATTGGTGATGACATAGTAGTGCTGGGTGTGGCACCCACCACATAGTGGGTACTGCCTTTTACGTTATTGTGCTCTGTTTCTTCTGCATGGGTTACTTGTTTGCCAATGTTTACAGTTTTTAATCTTGTATTATTGTAATTATTCAACATGGATATGGATGGATTATCTCCCATACCTTCAGTTATATCTCCATGTTCTGCTAATAACAAATCTGCTCCATACATCTGTGCCATTTCAATATCATTCAAGATTTTTGRCTTTCCTTTTCGTATTTTATCAGAAAGTTGTGCTGATTCCTGTGACGGGAAAATATATTTTCAGAAATAGTAATCAGTATATAAAAATATCTTTATTTAAGTGTCTAGTCGTTCTAGCACTTTCACACTAATTAGGGACACTTTCCATTCACATGCACTACTACTACATTCAATGTCTATGCACACAATACCCAACTCACATGTTGATTTTTACAGAGGGAGGAAACCAGAGAAAACTCTTGTAGCATAGGAGAAAACAACACATCAAACAAACGCAATAGACTTATGGTGTTTGCAGAGCTCAAATTAGCGACCTGAGCCTTTGAAACCACAGTGGTGAAAGACGCATTACTGCTTATGTGTGGCTAGTTAACACGTCAGACATAAATGACATAACTTTGCCTTTTCTAAGAGAASTTGAGCCTCCTATTATCATCTAGCTAGAATGGTCATGGCATATTGATAGGAAATCCACTGTGGACATRACAATCAAGAGTTAAAACTAATACCTGTCTATTGTTTCCATACTGTCTGTGGAAAAACTCTCACTATAGATGCACGGGAATCCATCTGCATACTACGATTGCTTATGGAGTTCCTAACGCTGTACTCTCACTGTTTTGAAAGCCTTTCTATTTCGATATGATAAATCTAGTTTTCATCATTTGAATTATTCAACTTTAAAATCTAGATCGTCTTGGATTTACTTCTAGAAAGCCATGACTATTTGGCTGTACCATAACATGTAGAAGTTTGTATTAAATACCTGAAGAAGGAATGAAGTCTCCCCTTGGTGTCTCTTGTTTGTAGGTGAGTTCCCTTTAGATGCTCGCCGCTTGAACGATTTACCCTTTTTTAGTACAATCTTGCTCGGAGCTAGTACAGGATGAGCATCGCTATCTTTGCTCAAACTTGTACCTTCAATAGACGACTTTGATAACGTTGTTAAAGTGGACCTGGTCTTTTCTCCAGTCATTTCTGGAGACGTACATGTTCGGTTTCCAACATTTAAATCTTTTCCATTTAGTTGAAAGTTGTTAGATAATTTTAATCTGCAATTCTCAGACTTTAATCTGTGGTTGTCACTGTTCCCATTTATTTTTAAATTTTTTTGCTTGTTTCCTACGGAAGAGTTTCCCTCAGATGTCGCACTCACTTTGTTGGCAAATGCTGAAGCACTAGACACACAAGATGAACCCTCATTGCTCAAGCCATGATGCATCTTCWTCATCATCTTTTTTTTCTCCTCCTCTTCTTCTTTTTTAAGAATAACTTGTCTTAACTTTAAGTTAGTAAAAGCTTTGCGCTTTGGAGTATTACCTCCCAAGGATGATGTTGCAGACTTCATGAAGCTGTGACTCAATCCTACTGGCGAAGGAGTAGGAGGTATCAATTCATCATCCGAATTATCCTCTACTATGTTCTTTGTTGCATTCTGTTCTTCATTCAAGTGATGAAGGTGTTGATTGGATGTGCTTCTATCATCATTTGATTTAACAACAACATCGTCACCCAAACAAAATAAGGATTTTCTATTTGGTGTGTCATTCTTATCATATAATGTTGCAGTAACGTCATTACCCAAAGCAGATTGAGTGTCAAAATCATCATGATCTAACGTTATTGTGTCCTTATTTTTGTTTTGTCCATCTATAAGATGTTCTCCATCAGAAGTCTTATCCCCCTCCTATAATAAACAGAAATACATAAAACTATCAAAAAGTATGAAAAGGAATTGGGCAGAAGCAAAAAGACGAAAATGGCATAACAGGATCGGCTGTGCATTACCCCTGATAGATCCTTCAAGCACTAATGAAAATGTTCAATCCCTTGATGTAGAGGAGATATAATATAGACCTTAGTACTTTGGGCTGAGTGAGTGATAATGTTTTCCCATTTCCGAAAGCTCCTTTACTTGAGTTTCTATATATTTAAATGTAACTTTTCAAACTCCATTGGAGAACAGAAATAATTCTCGTGTCAACATCATCCCAAAGGTAAAAGAATTTGTCTGGTGAAACTATGCATTACCTTAGGTTTACAGCTTCTTTTCTTTGTTGTAAGGTTCAGTGTTTTCTTATCAACTGGGCAAAAAAGAAAGAGAATTAGAATATCAATCAACAATATATAGAATGTAGAGTAATGATAAAAGACTTTTAGCTTTTATTGGTAGTCTAAAACAACCTCTAGGCTGATCAAAGTCAGGGGAGGGAGGAAAACGAAAGAACAAAGGGAAAACCCCTAAAATTAGAGACCCTAGTAACTTTAGTCACATGTGATGCCGAGTCCAAACCTGAGACCCAGATGTGAGAAGTGACTTAGACTACCACTTTGCCAACCATAATAGGCCAATTGCAACAAATAGACATATCACTTTGTTAATGAATCAACTCAGCCAAAGGTCCCCTGGGGAAGGCTTGCCAGATGGAAAATAAACTTTAAAAAGGTTCATATTTTGAAAGTATCTTATGAAGGAAAAAATTATTTTGAAAAAGGTTTTGAATATCACATTATTAATCCAGCAAAAGCTCTTTAAATAAACGAAGTCCTTTTTTTTGCCATCCAGTAACAGCCATGTGACTGTTTGTTGCAAAATGCCTATTCTCACTGTCAAAACATATGCATCTGGACATTGAGGCACTTACCTTTGTTTGTTGATCCAACAATAGAAAATAACTGGCTTTTCCCACCCTGTATTTAGTATCAAGGTTATGAAATTAAAAACATAAACGTTGTGAACATCAAGATGATAGCTGGTACCTGTAGGTATTTTTTACTGTTTGCTACATGGTTTTTGGCTTGTTTTAGGGAATTTCCCATGGCAAATAAATGCCAGTTATTGTGGATAATCTTTGGCCAAATGCTTCTTAGGCCAGTCAGGAGTCAGTCCTCTGGACTGGTCGCATGTTGAACAGTCTGACCATGAAGCAGCTGTCATTTTTAGTGCTTTACCAGTAAAAAAGAGTCTTAAATATAGAGCTAAATATTAGATGTCTCTTCCTCTTCTGGTGTAGCAGTTAATGGATGAAGCAAAATTTCTACAAATGTGACAATGTCACTGCATAGATGTGCCATGGTCTTAACAGTTGAGTACCCAGTGCAGAGATTTTCATCAGATACACTAAAATTTCAAGTACTGTGCTTAGGTCAATGGATGCCACCGGTTTTATAGTCTCATACTTTGCTATATCTGTAGCCTTTCTCAGTTGTACAAAATAAGCAATAATTGCAATTTCATCAAATCTAATCAAGTTAAAATTGTTTTAGCCAACTTCCTCTATCTGTTTTGATGAATATCTTTGCAAATATCTTTTATAGAAGGCTGTTGAGGGCTGGCATTTCAGTATGGATGTAAATTTTTACCTTGTTGAAGAAACTGGAAATGGTTTGTTGATTTGATCCTTTCTGCTAATAAGAAAAGAACAATTTCGTTTTAGGAAAAGTAGCAAACAAAATCAGGGTTCAATAATTTGCACTCCTACAAATGTACATGGACAGTTGTTTATTAACATACACAGAAGGGGCAGTCGGGTGGGGGTGGGGGTGGGTGTGCATAAGTCCCCCACTCTTAGGATATAATACTTAATTGCCAAGTCTCAGTCCCCAATGCATAGTAAGTTATTCTACCAAATTACGATTATTAGTCTTAAAAAATTACGAATTTTTGAGGGTGCCCCAGAGTCTGGGATGACAAGGATGATAAAGATGACAGCAATCTTCAAATACAGTGTCCATAAATAGTGGTTTTGTATAGTATTTGTAACAATATGTGCACATCAGCTATGCACTGTTGAGGCAACTGTACGTGCTGCTTTATGCTAATAAAGTTGCTCTCTAGCATCGGAATTGGAATCAGCTAGTCTGCCGTTGCCAAGCAATGATAACGAAATAAAACCAGCGTGCTTCAGCAAGATCACATGTAAGCTCACCATCTTCATCTTATGTTTTTTACCTTTATTCCAACGTTTTTAGAGCTCATTTATATACCTTTTAGAAGTCCGTCATTAGTTTAAAACAACAACAAATAAGCTAATTCCATATGTTTACTTAAAGTCTGGCTGGGTCGTATCATAAAGCAAAGCTATTCGTGAATGCAAATAAAGRGTCAATTATTTGAAGGTTTGAATGGAAGGGGTATCTTCACGTACACTGTATAGGCAAAGATCCCGCGAAAGATAAAAATACGACCAAGCAAACTCAACGCCTACCAAAATTTGTAGAATTCGGCTACATTACTTAAACCATTACAATGTTTTACTAATGCTACAAAGGGTGTACTAAAATCTTAGATTTAAAAATATTTAAAAATTTTGAAGCTCTCGTACCTTGTCCGCGCCGGTTGAGTTACAGCGAGATTTTTTCATGTCTTTTACTGAAGATTTCCCACTGTTTTATCATCCCCTCTAATTATAGGAGACTTTCACTAAAGATAAATGGAAAGATGGAAAAGATCCTAGTATTTGTACAAAATATGAATTGTAYATTTTCATCGAGATCGAAATCTCCCGCCAAGCACTAGCCATGTTTTTTCTGGAGTGTGAATAACCGCTGAARCAGGTGTGTGGGCTCAGGTTAGAAGGTCATGCACTCGCAAAGCATTTTGGGAACGTTTGCGCAGAAAGCAACGAATCTCCTAAGTACCGCTTCTTTGGCTCCGGCTAAGATTTTCCCTTCAACTTTTTTTTATGGAAATGTAAGTATTCCAACAGASAAAAATAACAGAGTAATTTTCAGTTAATGATATGTGCTTTGATTTCCCTGTTCAATTCTTGCAGTACTTGGTTTCCCAGACTGCCGTGTGAGCTTTGATGCACATTGTCAATTTTAAGGAATGATTTTAGCACACACACCAACAARTTACAAGTTATTAGTCAGTTTAACGTTTCCCGATTTGCGCTTGATTCTTAGGCCTACRGCGAAATTAGTCACGTGCCAACGACACCAGACTKACACCCCTTTTCCAGTTTACATGTGCAGACGTGTAGTCCTATGCACTAAGATRTAACTGACTTATCTTGGAATCGCTACACCCTATAGATGGTATATGCAATATCTGTCATCACTTTCTTCAAGTCTCTGCTTTCTTAGGCCCGGTTCATACGTCGAWCTTTTCATGCGCCGAACCAATCGTTAAGATCGACTGAAGCGGTCGGGAATTACGACTTCGGAGCTACTCTGATTCAAACGACGAACTTTTCATGAATCGAACCTAATGCATATATTATATTCAATTGTGAAATGTTTGAATTGGAAAAATCTAATTAGATCGACTGTATTTGGTACGATGTCTGAATCAAAAGTAGATATTTGACGATCTTTGGTCGTTCTTCAACGTGTTAAGTTCGGTTCATGAAAAGTTCGACGTATGAACCGGGCCTTACTAGCATTCAAAAACCTCGCAACACTTATCTGAGATTTACTTATCGCACACACACGCACGCACTCTTACGAGCAAMAAWTGRAAAACCAGCTCAACGTTCAAAAACAAGGACAACCAATCTAATGGTGTGGACATGCGGCGCTGTAATAACGTTGGCGTTTTTGGGCGTCTTCATTGGTTTATCAGTAGCGACAGAGCACGGTAATATTTCGCGCGTTAAGAGCGGTTTTCGTACGAGTGGAAAACAACAGAGCTTTTTCGTAGCCATGATTATGGGTCTGATTAGATGAATTACCGAAGGGAAGGGGAAGCCATTTTGGTGTTATCGTACCGTGTTCGTGAATGCTGTAATTCATTACCGTATGATTCCCACTCATACGAAAAACGCTCCATCTGTCATTCTCAGCTTTTCCATCCCTGCACCATTATTTTCACAAACATGCAAAGGGATCGAGTGCATACCATATACACTTGTTTCAATAAAGTTAGTCACCTGGAAAGCTACAAAGCTGAGACCAACAAGGATATGGGTAGATACATTTTACATGTTTCAACCACTTGATAACTGTTGGTGGACTTGAGATCTTCTACCAGTTACAAGTTCACCTCCTCTGAGCATCCTCAATTCAAAAAATGTTGTCGTCGACCAACTCAAGCCTACGCGACTGGACCGAAAGGAACTCTGGGTAGCAATCATTGAAGCTGAGTTGACTCCATAACTTCATCTGACTAGTTATGCCAGGTTTACAGCACGAACCTTCGTAGGCGAGCGGGAAGTGTTGAAGGAGACGTTTTTTTAATGCCTTCATATTTTCGGAATTGTGAACTGAATCATAACTACTTTGTTTTTCTTTCCCTAAACCCAAAGACATGCATTTGATGGATTGTTTCTCGCCATTATTATAAGTTAATAAAATTATTATTATCATTATTATCTTATTTCTAGCGGGAACAATTAATTCAGAACGAATATTTAATAGTGATTTTTACCCATATTCCTTTCGGTCCAGTTGTGTAGGCTTGAGCCGATCGACGACAACGTTTTTTGAATTGACTGTATCCATGAAATAGTGCTAACTTATTAGTTCAACACAGAACCAATGAAATAATTGAAAATTAAAGAAATAGATGTGTTTAGTGTTTTTTAGTTTTTGTGCTATTTCACGGATATATAGTTTGAACCCTCCCATCGTGGATGAAATCAAAAATTAGGATAAAAAATAAAAATGCTACATTTATTTGTACAACTTTTCACATAAACTCGAATAATTACGAATAATCAATTTGGGTGTAAAATAKTAAAAACGTTATAAGTTATATCTCCAAATATATCATTATAAAAAATAATAAGTTAATACTTTTTAATGATTCAATAGCACTTACCAAATGAAAGAATAAATTTGTTTGTTTTGTAYAAATAAAGTTTTCTCTTTGAATKAARTCTCTTAGTAAAATAAWGCGGTAACGTTGTTCAATGAAAATMTGTTTTGTGCAAAAGTTAAACTTTTCATGCATGTGTGCAAGATTCCRCATGATTTTAAAAATTCTTAATAAGGACACTGGACACAAGTGAATTTTTGACGTAATTTGCGTAACTCAATAACAACTTAAAGCTGCGCCAACGTTAATTTCTTTACCAATAGAATTTAAGTCAATTCTTCAAACTTAAGGCCAATCCTTCTTCCTTAATACAATATTCTAGTCTGACACTAGTATWTTCACAATTTTTTGTATATTTGGAGAAAACGACCATTTATTTTCTCACTATCGCTTCCCTAGCTTCTTGGAAAACATGCTGAATCGCACGCATGCGCAAAAGTTTTTCTCTAGTGTTCYTAACAAGCATTAGCTATTCCGAGGTTCAGGAAAAAACTGGGGTGAATCGGCATTGCAGTRCATTGTAGGAYTGTTTTAGGGGACATATTTCCAAGATGGCGTCTATTACGTCCCCTAGAACTGTCCCACAATGCACTGCAATGCCAACTCRACCCATTTTYTTTCTCAACCTTGGAATGGCCGATATGTTATGCTGTGAGCAAGATTTGGTGTGTCCTACAAGTAATGATTATAATTAGCTAGGGAAACTGTGGTAGAATGGATCTCCTAAAGCAACTCTTGACTTTTCAACCTTCATACGATTCTTTCATCACTAGTTCTAGCAAAAATTTGGATTTAGCTCTTGTTTCAAGTCATTTTTGCCCATATTTCATCTGGTTAGTACTCATTTGCATCAGCTGAAAGGACCTATTGGATAACTTCTATTGGATTATAAAACAATACAATAAGGCAGTAACACAATATTTTCGTTGTATCGTTTGACACTCCAAGATCTTTTCAGCAGATGTGACAAGGGTTAACCATTGATTAAAGGTGTAACACAGGGACCCCAAAACCRGATTTTTGTGCCAGTACTTGGTTAATAATAAATAACTTTTTTCATAGATTTTTGGAAATCTTATGATTTTTTTCGTTTTGCCTTTCTTTCATATCCTTTTTTTAAAAAGAACATGACATAAAAGAATGGTAGATAATAGGACGYTTGCATGATGGCGTCATTYGACTCCCACTACCATAATGCTTSGCRAATTTTCTTTCTTATTKAAATYYKTATTCCCTYRTGAGAATAGTAAGACAATTGGTRSTAATTAACTGAACAAAAGAAAGWGTGCAAGGGAGTCTGGKAGTAGAGGTCAATGACGCCATCATGCAAACGTCCTATTCTCGAACTTTCCAAAAATCTGAAGAACAAGGGGCTTTATTTTTTGCTGTAATGTACTGGTACAAAGCTGATCTTGGGCTCCCTGTGTGCTTTAATTATAAGTGAGTGGTGTGTGTCAGCGGAAGACCAAGAATTCTTGTGTACCACAATATGTAGAAGCAAGTCTCTTTCCATCAGGTGTAGGATCAGAGAATGCTAGAGCCTCCTTTGCAATTGTACAACCATATATGAAATCTGATCTGCATTTGGGGGAAAAAATACAAAAAGATTAATGGATTGATACTAAYCCAATTAAGGAAATATTGGACTTAATGTGAGATTTATTAGCTTATAAGGATAGACCTTTCCCCTGAGAATTGTTCTCTTATGATAAACATTTTTTCACATGAAAGAATAAACTCCCAAGAATGACATCATATGGTCTGAAATGGGCACAACAACAACAAAGAGGTCTATTGCCAATGACAACTGCTAAAATGAGAAAGGAAGAACRGCTTATGCAGGTAGATTTAGAGAAATGGCAGGATTCACAAGCTTACCTAACACAATCTATGAGCCTAGTAGCTACTTTCYTTCTTCTGTATTGATTCCATACCCAAATCTTACTGATGCCGCACTGTGCAGGCACTGGAACCRTGCTGAAATAGTAAAATGTCCATATCAAAGAAATACTTATTTCTGTTTGCATTCTAAGTTTAGAGCTAACTAAATCTTAAATAAACAGCTTGATTATATCCTCAGGGAAGTATTTTCAGTATACCGTAATAACCAGCCACACCCCAATCCTATTGTGTAATGCGGTGGTTATCCTCAATAATGTTCTGGTGCAGGTCTGTATTTCAAAAATATAGATCTGTCCCGAGGACATTCATATCAAATCAATATGAAATGCAAATCCATTGTTCCTAAATCATGGATCGGGGCTGGTTATTAAATCTGATCAAACACATGGGCGAGGGCATTCTTAAAAATAAAGGCCGAAGCCTAGTGTTTGATCAGTTACATATAGCATGATAATAGACCACGCCACATTAAAATACAAGTAACAATAATACATCCCACGGCATTGCATCAATTCACACTAAACAGTACTACATGTATACCTGCAGCACCAGGCTGCAATCTGGCGATCAGGAGARGAGTCTTTGGATGGTGTGCTTGGAAGAACAGGATAACCCTAGGAGTAATATCAAATGAAAGAAAGCAGATTCAAACATGTGTACAGGGCTTAAAATACAGCCAGATTTCAGACAATTTCCACCCGGAATTGGAATTTGTCYGGTCAAATCTCATAAGCCCTGTGTAAAACACTGAAGGTGTAATCTCAAATAGTTTAGACACAAAGTATACACTATAGAAATTWAAAAAAGCAGGAGTTTGACTATGATTTTGCTCTTCATAATGTGTTGTTCTTTTGAAAATAGGTGGCTGCAAGTCTTAACTTAAAAAAAAAGACTTTTAAGATTTCATGGGAACCCTGTGCACTGCAGCAGCTTTAGTGTGACAAGTCTATACACAACATCCCTTGAGAGAATTTCAAAAACTTTTCCAAAACTTTCCCTTTGACTCAAATTTCCAAAACCACAGATAGTGCAAAAATAAAGCCAAATTCATGCATCTGAAACATAAATAAGATAGCTCAGCTGACCAGGCATTGACACGCATACACCACACCTACAGTGCTGACAAAAAATATTTGGCGCTTTATGAAGAAAACAATTCTGTAAGGTATAAGCTAGACACACTACGAAAAATCCATAACTTTTCCATAGCCTAGTTGGTGCAGGTCCTGGTAAAATTCATTTCCACTTTCCAAAACCCATACTAACCCTGGGTGTGTATTATACAAACCTTGTCAATCTGTATTGCCACACAGCACCCAACGACTCTTTTGTTTTCAATAAACAGGAATGTCTGAAATGACATAAGAATCATAGGAAATAAACAAAGTGTACACAATTTGTACCGTACAACAAAAACAATTTAATTTTTGAAGGTCAAGAAACCCTATCAACCATTATTGCAATTACTGCAACAAAAAACCTATAACATATTTTAAAAAACTCATTAATAATTCATGAAGGAAACACAATAGAAATCATGACCGTGAAGGAGGTTTTAAATCTGATATAAATTCATCTTCATTTGCATAAACTTTAACTTGGATTTTCTCTATCAAACTTGGTTCATTTCGTAAATAATTCTGTACAATATGAGAACATACATCATGAGTTTTTTAAGCCGGGTCTAGAACCCCTCGGCTGCRCTTCGTGTTTTATACCTGATAAAACACTCCTGCTCRTTTATTAAACACTWCATAATATATTTGGTTCTACTAAGAAACTATTCATTAAGATCATAGACGTTTCCCCAACTTTAGAAATAACTTTGTGAAGACAACAAAACTTGGTTAATGTCACTTACCTTTGATTCATTTTTTCTGTARTGCAAATCAACAGCAAATCCTAACTCACTATCGACAACTTTCCTAATTTCCTCGACCTTGGAAAGAGAGTCAAATATAAAACAAGTCAAATATTTGCTGTTCAAATGTTTAATGAAGAATATGGTGGTATCATATTTCAGACCACACATCATTCCCTTGTGCATTATTTCTTTCTTTAGGGAAATTTGATCCAAGATAGGGAGTCAATTTGATATATTGGTGGGTGCYCATAAATACCCCTTTCCCCTCAAGAGCTCTGTTGAAATACTCCATACCACAGGGACTATTTCTATAAACAAATATGTCRTTTTCTCACTGGACTCTGAAGATGACTTCTGCTCAGGTTGTCGAAACGTCAGTCACCACCACCAACAGTCTTTCTCAAGTCTACACTCACCCRGACGATCACATTTCACAACAAATATGTTGTTTAGAATACATGAAAATGTAAAGTACATTTGTTTCTGTGATTTGACACTTAGTTTTTTAAATATTTGAGGACAAAATTTTAGGTTAGACTTCCATAGTTATTGGGTTCTGGAGAACCCCATCTTGCCCCTCTAAATCAGGTTCCGTAAGATGACAATGRACTTATTTGASGATACGTTKGCCATCTTGAATTGCAAGGCATTATGGGRCATCCAGGGGGCAAATAAATMTTTGTTACAATAATGACRTTGATTGATATTAACAGCTAACTACAAGAAAATACAACAAAAATGAATGCACTGACTGCATACGGATCACCTTTACCYATGAAAGAAAGATCAAAACATGAAACTTTATATATTTCCATCATCTTTGTTTTGTTTTGCCCAGACCCATGGCAAGATGGCTGCCCTATTGTCGAAGTTGTCCATTGTTTTGGCCTTAACCCCCTACTTCTAATTTGAGTTATTATGATATTTATGTAGGCTGTCATTACCTTCTTGAGACGAGATGGATGATCATCTGGCTTGACCATTATAATCCTTCCATCATGAAACTCTTTCACAACATGTTCATCTTTCCAGCCCTAAAGAAGCACATAATTTGATGAACTAGCTTGCAATATGATGCAATATTTATGACAGCTGTTTAATACCATTTTAAGAGCAAGCACAACACTTACATTGAATCGCAACCCATTCACAAATTTCTTATGATGCCTTATATGCTCAATTTCATCTTCTGGCTGCGCATGGGTATATACCATTCCACATGTGGTGCAGGTCACATGGCCAAAATCTTTTTGCCCAAGATCCTGGAAAATAATTAATTTATAAATTATYACCACCAAAGGCAAGAAGTAACAAAGGAATCAGGAAGGTTGCAGCGTTAAATAAAGAAATAATTTGAACGGAATTATGRGTCAAATATGTTTAGTTTGGATTTTTCAAGCAGGGACTGAGTACGGTGTAGATTTCTCTTTTTGATTAAATGGAATTCTGCCATGAGTTCACAATCAATTAAAAGWATGAAGAATTAATATTTYATGGATTCTCTTGGCAGAATCATGGGAATTGCTTATCAAAACACAGTGTCAAATCCTCAATTCTGATTGGTTGACCTGGAGTTTCTTCTGAAGGTCAACTTAGCAGGGCATAGTGGACAACCCTTGTTGAGTGTTTTGCTAATTTACATTCAAAATAGGCAAAAGGCCAGGACAATGCAAACTGTCTGCCTCCACTTAATATGGGGTCCACTTAATAGAGGTATTACTGTATATACATTAAAAACTATATAATGCATACGGCATATACATGCTTCTTAACTTAAGCTAGTTTACACTGGTCACATTTTAACACCACCTTGGAGATCATTACATAGAACATAACTCACCAGGTACATTTGTTCCATTTTCTTTTTTCTTTCTTTTCCTTTTTTGCTTGTTCTGCAAAAAATCCATTATCATCATCACCATTATCACCACCACCATCATCATCTTCATCATCATCATCAATAATACAAATTGTACAAGTACAATAAGAATGATTGTGAGGGAAAACAACGCTAAATTCAAAGTTAAGTATCTTTAGCATACTATGATTTTACTGGAAACTTGGAAATGTTATATATTAACCTCTGATACATGTATCAGTGTAATGTATCAGTAACAGGAGCCAAGAGTAAGGTTCACATTGACTGGTCACATGTTGATTTGTCTGATGTGGCCAGTCAAAAGTCCTGCCATATTGAGGAACCATTATTTTTAGCTGCAGTAATGAACAGTTATTCAAATATAATCCTACCTTTCTAGATTTTTAGACTTGGGCGAAGTTACATTGCCAATTTGTTTGGTTGACTTTTTGAAGAAACTTGTGATTGAAGTCTGGTGTTCAGGAGAGATGCGGGATGCACTACTACTACCAGGACTATAGCTACTTTCACTGGTGTCTTTATCACGATATAAAAATGCTGGTTTATTGATATCCCTCATGCTTGAATCTTCACTTTCGATGTCCCAGTCAGGACTTGYGGATGAACTCTTGGGTGTTTCCATAAACTTTGCTGGGCCATTAACATTTAAATCTGGAGAATTCTCACTTGAGTTTGAAAAATAATATTCATTATTCTGACCCTTGAGTAAAGAACCAGCCCTTACAGGACCCAAGCCACTGGTGATACTTTCTTCAGAGTGAAGCGAACCAAGTTCTGATACTACATCGTCTATAATAGTCTTTGTGTCTGAGATGGAAATTTTAGGGTYTCTTGTCCTGATGTTGCATTTGGAATCTATGTTATCATAGGGATGATAACCATTGGTTATACCATTCATTGCAGTAACTGAAGACATTGGATCCTCGCTTGTCGGTGATGATGATGATGATGATGATGATTCTGGAGTTATAATATCCAGAACAGTGGTATCATTTTTATTATTGCTAATCTCATCAGGTTCAAAGCTATAATCTTTTTTATCTCTAACAGAATTGGAAATGACATCACTGCTATTACTAAGTCTTACTCCATTGATCTTGTGACTCTTTTCTTTGGTGCGAAATACTTTGTCTTTCATTGCATCATTAGTATCTTTCTTTACTTTCTTTATAACATGATTTACACTTTCATGGTCTTGTTGAATTTTGTGCTTTCTCTTTAAAGTCCTAGGTTTATTTTTCTTTTCTTCATCTTTTAACTTAGCATTTTCCATTTTTCTTTTGTCCTTTGACTTTGTGTTTTGAAATGAAAACTGGTAGGACTGAAGTTTGGATCCATAGAATCTGTTTGGTTTTAAACCATTCTTAGGTGATTGACATGTGTCAGCTTGATCAAAACCCTTGTCATGTGCTATAGAGTCTATTTGTATTTCATAATCATCTTGACTTGATGTATCTAGCTGGATTTCTGGTGTAATCGAATCATTTAAGCCATTTTTAATTGATTCCAAAAGTAAAGGTGTTTGAATATTTTCTTCTACATCCTTGTCACTAGTAATATGATCTGCTTGTATTGATGTCAACCAGTCTGAAGGAGGTTCCTTTACAATGGAAATTGAACTGTGAAGGAATGAAATATCATTTAAAAAATGGAAAGAAAACAATTTGAACAAACCTGGGAAGCATAACTTAGATGTATGGATTATTTACTATCATTCATTACTAAAAAAAATGAAAACATACTGATAAATATATTCTGACAGTTATACCCAAGCCTTGAAATTAAAGAAAAGACCTGAAATTTTTTCCATTCACTTTAGTGGGCTCCTGGGCCRGGTTGTTCAAAGCTGGATTAGCACTAATCCAGGATTAACTCTATGTAGGTCTTATTAAGAGTTAACCCAGGATTAGCACTAATCAGGCTTTGAACAACTGGGCCCTGGGTTACAAAAGTAGTTCATGGGGCCCTTTGGATTTTATTTTTTCAAATTTTTGGGGGAGGGGTGGAGGGGGGGAGGGTTGCTCTAAATTTTCAGTTTTCAACAATTGGAAATGGAGGGGACATTAAATTCACAATGAATTATATGCAATATTTCTAGCTTATTTTTTATTTGGAACATTAATGGGGAATTCACTCATAAACAACCAAGTTTCAAATAAAAATGGATGAATGAACCACTTGTTGAGCACTACAGTATGTATGCATGAAAGAAGTTAAGGCCCATTCTATATGCTGTTCCAATCATGTGCTGGATCTAATACAACAGCCCACTTCCAGATATGCTTTGCTTGTCACACACAAATGTTTTGGTGCAAGCCTAGAACATGCTCAATCAAATTTATTCTTTTCTCTTGTCRCAAATCACTGAGAATTATAAAAGGAGCCTAACACTGAAACCTTTTTTTGACATGCAAAGCATAGCTTAGAAGTGGATTTAACTCCAAACTGTTTCTCATTCAGACAGCAAACTTCGAGGGTCCTGAAGTGGGGTCCTAATCCCATTTTCCAGCTCCAATTTTGACCAAATCCCATAGTCCCAGCCTATGTTTTGATCAAATCTCAATCCCATTTTTTGATTGTTTTTCATTTGTGAATCCCATTCCCAGTGTATAAAATCCCATTCTACAGCCTAAAATGGGCGAATCCCAGCTCCCATTTAACCCCTTCAGAACCCTCAACTTAGTGTGTAAAACTAAATTAGGCCAGTTGTACCAAATTAAACCTAATTGATGAATTAAGTACTGCAAAAGAGCAGTAGTATTTAGTATGGGAAACACATTAAGTTTGACAGGAGGTACCACATTTGCACATTCATCAACTAGGATCGGCATATGAGTCGAGCGGGATATGGAACGGGCATAAGTTGCATACTAGTAATTGGATTATCACCATAAATGTTAAGATCGAAGGAAAAAAAGCAAAGAGACTACATGCGTCGTATCTAAGTATATTAGAAACCCGAATTCCACGGACATCTCATCTAAAGTTAACACAAAATGAGCCCAAACCCTATTTTATACGGATGATCTCAACTTACTTCGAATTCACGGAAGAACTGTGYGAAGAGGCACCCTGTTGTTTAGTAGGTTTTACTCGACGTTTGCAATTGCGAGAACTAGAGGCAGCTTTTCTCTTCGCCATAGCTTTTTACTCTTGTCAAAACATCTTCTCTCTCTCGATTTCACAGAAAAGACCTTTTCCTGTAATGTTGAAGGATGAGAGAAGAATCGAATCACCTCGAAGAAGCCAGATTACACGATTCTTTCTATGAATCCAGCTCACAAAATYACCAATTTGTGAGATCTAATTGCTAAAGTATTGTTCATAGGTATCTATGAAGCAAATATATACTTTATAGATCAATTCTATGATATTATTTTGCGGTTTGAACAGAACACCTTTGTCATTTCGTTCAGACGTCAGCCATTTTGTCTCGTATTTTCGCGCGCACSATTTCAATCCCGCTTTGCATTTTGGGTCTTAGAGAATTTTGCACAGGAAGTCCACGCCTAGTAAGGGGTGAGCACCCTCACTTTTAGGGATTTATAAACGTTATATTTTGTGACGAAAATAATGCAAATAGACATATAAGGACAACGCAGGAAAAAAATGTCTATGTAGGGTCTTTCAGCACATGAAATCTAAGCTTTTACCAGCTTGGTATTTAAGAGTGGCATTGCTGATTCAATGCCCGGCAGTTTTAATTTTCGACCATTTCTGAAATAGAATGAATTCTAATCGAATCAAAAGGATCTTTCTTTGTAGAGAAARATGAAAAATTACGTAACTATGCTGTCGTTTTCAAGTTGAAAAAGAAAAACGAAGAGAAAGATCATGATCGAAAGTTTGAGTAGTTATCATGTTTAGGTCACCCATCCAGGTACTAACCCTCCTCAGACGGGCTTGACTTAGTATCTTGAAAAGCCCTATTGTTTTTTCCYCCATTGGGCCACGGTTCCAGATAAATCAGCATAACAATAGCCATGAAAACAATGCACCAAATAGACTAGACTTTTCAACATCAAATTTTCAACCGATTCCGTGCGTGGCAGAGATGCAAGGGATTAGCCGATATGGTCTGGGGGCCGGCTGGTCTCTCCCCTGATRCTTCGGCTAGAACATTTTCTTGCGTAATTCGTACAACCAAGGGCAGAAGGATTTAATCGCCGTCAGGTCCGAAGTCCATACGCCGCCTCAGCTCTGCGGATGTCTTGGGGGTATGGCACATTAGAATCGATTTTTTATTTTTTTATTTATTTAATTTTCCTTTCTTTCTTTCTTTCTTTCTTTTCTTTCTTTCTTTTTCTTTTTCTTTTTTTTAACTTTCTTTCTTTCAGTATGACTGACTGGAAATAGTTTACTGACGAGCCACTAAAACACTCTTCGGGCTGCCTGTGCTTCTTTCACAAAACAATAAAACAAGATGGCGGAAGGCAGTGAATCGGCACTTGCTGGGCTAAGCACTCAACAGATCTCTCAGATCCAAACAGCATTCAACTGCGATCCCAAAAATCAATTGAGTCTGAATCTAGGGACACGTAATGAACCTTTAGATTTGTGTCTTTCTCGCCAGGTTGTTGAGAAAACAAACCATGTCTTCAACCACAAGGTTGGTGGTCTTAGTGTTTCTACCAGCACACTGCTTACACGTCATAATATTTTWAAAATCTAATATCAAACCCTGATAAGGATTAATATAAATGATGCCATAGTTTGCAGTTATGTTTGATATGAGTTTTATGGGTGATATTTCACAATTTTGTAGCGTTTCCACCGTCCTGTAAGCGATTTGTGAGCCTATGGCCATGGTAACTTTTAAAAGCTTAATTAGTTATTCAAACATTCAACCACTTTATCAAAATTATGTAAAAAGTACGTTATGTTATTACTGTAAGTATACTTGTGTAAGCAAGGAATGATAGGTGATTCAAAAAAAGATTGAAAGGCAGTTATACATTCCTAATGAACTTAACAAATTTTTGGGCTATTGGGTGGGGCATTTTTGTTGAGGCCCTATTAGGGGGGTAATCATGTCCTGTAATCATGTTATTCGTTTTGTGGGTCTCCTGTCATTTTGAGGCCAGGTTGATTGTTGGAATATACTCCTCCAAATGGGGCCTCTTTATTAGAGGGATGGGGGGATCTGGGACTTTAGAGTGGAGGGTCATCAGTAAGGATTTGAACTTTCATGTGAGTCAAACCTTTTTATCTTGGCGAAAACTTGTCGTTGTTGACTTAATAGGAGGTACATGAATTTCTTACTGAGTTAAAGAGGAGGGCTACAATCAATTTTTTTAAAGTTTGCTGCAAATCCCACAGCCCAAATAACAAAATGTACCTGCTTATGAAATTATGCTTTTTCCATTTCAAAAGATTTAAAGCTTTTATCTAAATTATTTTCAAAAGGTCAATGAAGTCAAGCCTATGACTAACCAGAAATCCTCTGGTCGTTGCTGGATATTTGCACTACTGAACTGTGTACGACAAAAGTTTGTGCAAAATATGAACTTAGATGAAATGGAGTTCAGTCAACAGTATCTTTTCTTCTGGGATAAAATCGAAAGGTCTTACTTCTTTTTGAACAATTATGTTGAATTGGCCAAGAAAAATGAAGATCCGGATGGTCGTCTAATGATGTACTTGCTTAGTAATCCAATGAATGATGGAGGCCAATGGGAAATGTTGGTAAGCTTGGTTGAAAAGTATGGCTTAATCCCCAAGTCTGTTTGGCCAGACTCCACTAGTGCTATAAGGTCGCGGCGAATGAATGCAATCTTGAACAATAAGGTATGTAATTTTTATATTAGAAGTTTCCATGTGTGACTTGTGTGGTTAGCGCTGCACTGCCAAATAAGCTGAATGATGGTGATGGTGATGGTGATGGTGATGGTGAAGATGGTGATGGTGATGGTGATGGTGATGGTGATGGCGATGATGATCATAAAGATGGTGATAGTGATGTGATGGTAGTGATGATGGTGGTGGTGGTGGTGAGGGTGGTGGTGGTGGTGATGGTGATGGTGGTGGTGATGGTGATGGTGATGATGATCATAAAGATGGTGATAGTGATGGTAATGGTGATGATGATGATGACATTGCTTAATGGTGATGATTGTAACATTTTATTAATAAAAGTACGATGATTAATGATACTATTTAACGAGATCTATAACTTTTATAAGCTGGCCCCAATGCAGAATAAAGAAAAATATTTTAAAATTAGGTTTCTAGAATTAGTAAGTTGATTTAAATGCACTAAACTATCTATTATTTAATAAAATATTTAATATTTCATTTCTCCCTAACAACTACAGCACAGAGAATGCGCCATGGTACTCAGGAAGATGGTCAAAGATGGTGCTAGCGATGAGGAAATTGAATTGATGAAAAATAAAATGATGGCAGAGGTAACAACATTCCCAAAGTATAAGGCTATAAATAATGATTTATGGACCGTTAATTTATTTAGTTTTTTTATTATTTCATAAATAAATAAAAAATATATAAACAGTGAAATATTGAGATGAAACATTATATAACTGACATGATACCTTGAGGACTGTCAAATTCTCAAGACTTTGTCCATTCTTATATTAGGTGTATCGTATCGTAGCAATCTGTTTGGGTACCCCTCCCAGCACATTCACCTGGGAGTACTATGACAAAAGTAAGAACTACAAAAAGATAGAGGGCCTGACACCTTTGAAGTTCTATAATGACTACATCAAACCAGTTTTCACCATACGGGACAAGGTATGTAACAAAAAAATTTCTCTACTTTCCCATACCAATAATACTTTGCAGCTTTGGGGGGTAACCTGGGGAAAAACTGCACCTATTTTGCTAAAGGCTGATCAGACAATGTTGAAAATACCTCATTTGTGATATCCAAATATAAAATGAAGTAAAAAACAGAAAAAGATGGGAGAAGCTTGAAGAAGTTTAAAGTAAATTTTAAACATCCTTTCATAAGTCAATATATTTTCTGTAATACCAAACCTCTTGATGTTCTGTATGTGCAAAATTAACTTGGAATAAATAAGTTCAACCTCGACTTGAAACCATTGTTTCGCGAATAGTCAAGCAAATTCTGGAAAGGTCTATTGTCAGCAACTGACCGTGACACATTTTGATTTCACTACAAAGGTCTGCATTGTGAATGATCCAAGGAATGAGTATAACAAGCTCTACACAGTAGAGTACCTGGGAAATTTTGCAAATGGTCCAAAAGTTGTGTACTTAAATCAGCCAATTGAAGTCCTAAAATACCTAGCAGCAGCATCCCTCCGAGACAATGAGGTAAAAATGAAAGTTATTTATTTTTCCACATGTAGGGTCTACTCTCCTAGTCTTGTATGTGGAGTTGACTGTTTACACATTTAGTATATATAATACCTAGTAAATTGTATTTTTCTTACAACATAGACCATTTTCTAGACTTGCCCCAAGTCAACCTCTCATGTCTCCAGCAGGTTTAATCATTTTAAAATTCGTAAAATACCACTGTTATTTGAAATTCAACGCTTACAGTTTCATTAACTAAGGGTTAGCCTCATTAATTTTAGCATCAGAATCACAAAATATTATACGTAAATTAAAGAATGCACTAGTTCATCAATACACTTTGAAATATCAAGGACATTATTTCACTGGAACACATGAAATTATATTCTACACAAAATCAAGGTTTACCCTGAGCCACAGACAAATCAAAACTGAAGTATTTTTTCTATAAGATTAAGTTTTTTTCTTGTATAAACACACCTTATACTGTACATATTAATTTTTACCTAATAGGCTGTTTGGTTTGGATGTGATGTTGGAAAGCATTTCGAGGGGAAGCTTGGAGTCCTAGACCTTGAAATGTAAGTGAAAGAATATGATTTTAAGAAGAAAAATTGCAAGTCATAGTCATTGCCATTCATCAGTCTCATACCTTTTTTTGCTGTTTCAGTCATAATTATGACTTAGTATTTGGTATATCTCTGCTGGGGCTGGACAAGGCACAGCGTCTGGTCTATGGTGAATCTCTCATGACACATGCCATGACATTCACTGGACTTTCATATCAGGTAATTTTGTCTTTGCTTTGAAAAGATAAGTATAACCAACATGACAGAATGCATTGTGGTCTAGTTTGGGTACAAGCAACACCATATAAAGCATGTCAACAAAAGATATTTGCAGCTAAGTTAGACCACAATGCACAATGTTCACTATCTCAAGAATGGTCTATGGCAGGCTTCATGGCTAGGTTGAGTTTCAGCTTTAAGGTTGCCAGGCCCTCTTCCCTCCCAGCTCATGGCCAAGTACTAAAATCGTAAATCATTCATAAAGACTCACATTTTATCCACTCCCAGGAACATTCTCAGGGCTGATTAAAGTCAGGGCACAGCACAAACTTGTTTTGTGATAATAGACTACTTTCAGTACCCCTTGTAAACCTGTTATGTATAGTCAATGAAAGCAAACCTGTTTCAATGCGTTGTCTACAACAAGCCACTAAAACTAACAGTTACAACAAAGTTATCCCAGTATATCATGTCTTCAACACTAGACAAAAACCGAGTAGTGCATACAAAGTTAACTTCAATAACATCCAAGTTTCCTCTTCACAGGACACAGGAGACCAGTCAGGAGAAAAATCTGGAGTTGAACAGAAATCAGAAGGCGAAGAGAAACCAGTGACTCTAAAACCAGTCACCACCACAAAATGGAGAGTCGAGAACTCATGGGGGGATGACAAGGGTGACAAGGGGTATCTGGTCATGACAGACAACTGGTTTAGTGAATATGTCTATGAAGTTGTTGTAGACAAGAAGTATGTTCCAGCAGAACTACTTGCTATTCTGAAACAGGAACCAGTGGTGTTACCTGCGTGGGATCCTATGGGTGCCCTTGCTTGTGTCCACTGTGGGGAAACACCATAGAGTATTCTATCAACTAGGAATGCTTGAATTTCAATATTAATAGAAGATGGCAAAAATGAACACTGCACTACGTTTTGAAGCACTTATGATTTTGTTATGCATTTTTCACTTTCTTAAAAATTTGTTGAAACATGTACACGTGGAACGCATGTTTTGTTCGGAGCCACCAAAGCTCCGAACCAAAAAAACTCGATCAGCATGACAACAATCCAGTTCAACAAAGTTACTGCATTTTCATAAAAATGTGAACTGTGTCTGTTAGCTGCACCCTGAAATTGGTTTTTCGCTGCTGCCAGTCAAAAATATGAAAAGTACCAACTGATTAGGTTTGATTGACGGAAGCGAACAAACCAAATTTCAGCGTGCAGCTCGCAGACAGAGTTCGCATGTTTATGAAAATCGCAGTAATAAAATGTGTATCAACTGTGGGTACAGCCTGGAATTTAATTTAATTTAATTTCGAAAAAAACTCACAAAAGCAAAAGTTACATTAAATCACATACCATTTTAATAGAAACTTTCTCTCTGGCTTTACAATTCTTTACCACCTATACAACTGGATTACTATTAGTTAACAGTAAGAATGACTCCATGATAATACAATTCTTATTAAGTAACAAATGAAGCCAATCAGCAAAATATTTTCCCATCCAGAAATGATTTAAGTTAGCAACATACTAAACGTCAAAGTCGCCATGTTGGAAGAACTGGACAGTATATTAGGTGATGGGATTGTTTTGTCATATCCTCCAACATGGTAAATGAGTCTTTTTGTTTCCTTCGGAAAGGATAAGGGCATACTACAAAGAATAAAGCTTATATGATAATACGGAAATCATTACAGATTGGTTCGCAACCCAAGTTATAGAGCGAAATTGTCTAAAATTGATCCCGACCAACTACGATTGGGCATGATACATCATACAAAAGTGAATTAAGGCTCATTAACCTTGGTGGTTGGAACTTACATTACTTTGTTGTACAGTGACAGAACTTCTTCTAGAGACATAAATGTAGCAATGATATATTGATAATATCAGTGGAAACAGTTTCACAGCCGCACGCAATCACAGAAAGGGGGAAGAATCAGCATAAAGAAAGAGGAGGGAAGAATAGATGCAAAAACGTAGGGATTAAAAACGTCCTCAGTTTTGTCTAGCTTGTGCAAAAACTCGATTGTATTGTTTAAGTCATGTCAATGGGTGATGGTACTATTGTAGAACTCTGTTGTCGGTCACATAACAAGGTTTTATAAAACGGTAAACGCTAAAATAAATACACATAAAATTTGAGTAACGCAATGTATCAAGAAACTTTGGACCGCCAGATTCACTTGTACATGTCGGAATTGGCCCTGATCTTATTCTTATACTACATCCCCACCCCTCTTTCTGTTGGATAGAAGTTATCCTTGAAAGAGCGATTGTTAGTTTTTTCTAGATCATACGTAGAAACTGAATGGGTAGAGATGAACCCCTCTTCTAAGACAAGTGTCACGCAACACCTTACGTATTAGGAGACTGGCTCGAGGAAAAGGAAGCCCCTTTAAGAGCGCTGCTATGGAAGCTATTCACCAACTGATTAAGGGGTTCTTATCTCTTTGGGCTGTCACTACCACTGCTACTGCCGCTGCTGCTGCTATCACTGCTGGATTCATCGCCACTGTCTTCACTACTGCTACTGCTGCTTGACTGACTTGATTTCTTTGACTCGCTGGAATCACTGTCACTGCTATCATCACTGCTGTCACTTCCAGATTTACTTTCTTTCTTCTCGGGCGAGTGCTTTTCGCCTTTCCTTTCTTGTGATGGTCTTCTGGCTTCTTCTGGGGTTGCGCTTCTTGAATAAATAAATAAATCACTTTATTTAAGTGTCTAGTCGTTTTTAGCGCCTTCGCGCTAATTGGGTACACTTTTCGCTCACACGCACTACCACTACATTCGATGTTCTATACACACAACGCTCAACTCACATGTTGATTTCTATGGAGGGAGGAAACCGGAGAACCCGGAGAAAACCCTCATAGCATAGGAGAGAACAACACATCAAACGAACTCAGTTCACATATGGCGACCGCAGGTGAAAGACGACGCGTTAGCCGCGAACGCCACCCATGCTACCCATAATAAAGAGAACAAATTCCAGGTTTAATATCACGTACTACTACCCTGCTAAAATAAAAATAATACTCAAAACAATGTCATGCATGTGGGCATAAATGCAAAGGCATCGGCGTAAGCTGCACCGCAATGGTTGTGGGTTTCATAATCTGTTCCCCCATTATTATTGAGTAGTTTTGTTTCTTGGTTCTTCCATCGATTTTCCTCCATCCTTAAAATTCATCTAAATAGCTTCAATTCGCTTTTTTTTTTTTTTTTGGCTTTCCCCTAGATTGGCGTCTGACTTTTCTATGACAGTCAGCGACAGCAAATTCGCACAGCTCAAAATAGGGAACTATGTGACTAACAAACCTTTGCCCTTTAGAAGTAGAGCTACTCTTGCGAGGGGGGCTGACGGACTTCTCCCTAACGTGTTGGCTTGGCTCTTCTCGTGAGGACTGTTCCCTATTTGGACTTCCTCTACGACCTAGTGACAGTCGCTCTTGTGGTGTCGACGTTTGCTCCGGTAACCTGGAACCTCTTTGAATGGCATCTCTACTTCGTCTTGGATTACCGCTTCGTGATCTTCTGTCCTGTATTACATATCGGGGTTCATCAGGGGTGTTTGATCTATCCCTCCTATACCTTCTTGGAGAAGGTGATCGTTCTTGGGGTCTACGACGTGGAGGGGAAGGGGACCTTTGGTAGCGTCGTGGAGGGGTGCTGCTTCGTCGTCTTCTGCGTGGTGGACTTGCGCTCGGTCTCTGCCAACGATCTGAGTGTCTCCTTGGTGGAGAAGGAGATCGTCTTACATTTCTTCTTGGAGAGTACTCCTCTCTTACTCCGGAGATTCGTTTTCTTTGTTCAGGGGAAATACTTCGACGTCTTTCTGTCCTTCTCGGTGGCGATACACTTGGACTCTGTCGACGCGTATTTCTTGTAGGAGGAGGAGGAGATACTCTTCTTGGCGGGCTGCGACGTCTGGCACCCCTGGCTGGAGGTTCTGCCTCTTGCCTCCTCTGCGGCTGTCTTCTTTCTTCTTTGTCAACCATGGGTTTCTCACGTTCAGGGGAGGAGCTTGGCTGTCTCCTCTTTTCTGGAGAGCTACTCTGCCCGCCATTCTTCTCCCGGTTGGATTTGGCACGCGGAGCCTGTTCTTCCTCAGAACTACTCGACTCTGAATCTGAGCTGGAACTTGAAGATCCATCAGAACTTTCCTCAGAAGACGATTCAGACTCGGACTGGGGTTTCTTTGGTTTTTCCTTCTTCTCGTTGATGACCTGCTTTTCTTTTCTCGCCGGGGATCCGGATGACCGTCGCCGTCTTTCTGGACTTCTACTGGGCTCGGCGCCCTCCCTTGGTCTCTCCTTTGCTGCGGGTACCCTGTCTGTATCTCTTTCTCTGCTCTTCTTTTCTTCTAAATCACGGTGTTTTCTTTCAGGAGACGAGTAGGAGCGCCGTGATTCTTGTTTTCTGATCGTTCTTTCATCAGGAGATCTTGAATCGCGCCCTCTAGATTGATTCATTCGTGACGTCGTATCTCTGGGTTTCGACTTGGGGGTGGGTCTTTCATTCGAGTCACACCTTCGCCATTCATCTTGTCTGGGAGCTCTTGTTTCGTCTTCAGATGAGCTTGCGCGTCTTCTCTGCACCGGAGAGTCCTGTTTTCGACTGGTTTGTCTTCTCTCATCCCGTCTTCGCCATTCATCTTGTCTGGGAGCTCTTGTTTCGTCTTCAGATGAGCTTGCGCGTCTTCTCTGCACCGGAGAGTCCTGTTTTCCACTGGTTTGTCTTCTCTCATCCCGTCTTTGCCTTCCATCTTGTCTAGGAGCTCTTGCTTCGTCTTCAGATGAGCTTGTGCGCCTTCTCTTCACCGGAGAGTCCTGTCTTCGACTGGATTGTCTTCTGTCATCCCGACTTTGCCTTTCATCTCGTCTAGGAGCTCTTGCTTCGTCTTCAGATGAGCTTGCGCGTCTTCTCTTCACCGGAGAATGAAACGAATTCTTACCAGTTCTTTCATCGTCGCGATCCTGTCTCCGTCTTTCTTCCTGAGAAAAGCGCTTTATTGCCGTTTTTCTTTCTGGTGATGATTTCTCTTCGCTTTCTCGTCTCTTAGGTCGTTTTCTTCGCTGAGGTGATTCGTCGCTTGAGCTTGATCGATGCCGACGTGATTTCTTCCTTTCCTCTGGACTTTCATTTCGTTTCTTTCTTTCGGAGGTCCTTTCTCTGCTCTCCTTTCTCTCTGAAACTTCTTCACTTGTCCGCCTGTTGGAGTGAATCAAATCATCAAGATATACAACCCTTTTTTGAAATTTCTTTAGAACCAGGCTTTTTATAGTCGCTTCCTACCCCTTCCTCACACGTCTTTTATTTAATTTAATTTAGGGAAGGACCATTAGATTTTTGAGGGGTGGGGGTTATGGGGAATTGGGCAAACCCCCCCACCCCCCACCCCCCCCCAAAAGAGTGAAAAAAATTATGTCCAAAAAAAAACAACAACAACAACTACCCTGCACAGCCATGAGGCGTAAAAAAATTCCTGCACAAAATAAATTGCCCCACACCCCCCCTCCCCTCAAAAATCTAATGGTGCGTCCCTTATCTAGCTTTGCCTCCAGTTCAAAAAAGAAAGGGGGGGGGGGGGAATGACACAAATATAGATACAATATATAGGATATACAATATATATACAATGTATAGGATCGTCCGAGTTGTATGGGGTCGTCTGCATGGAAAAACGACTTCCGGATCCAATAAAAAAGCTGTTTTATGAAGGTTTATTTTTTACTTTTTCTTTATTACAGGATTTGTTGTCTAAAGTTCTAATTGTTTCAGGTGAAGGTTAAATCATTGAGAACATTTTTCGCTTGGACCCGGAAATACGTTACAACTTAAAAGCGGCTTCGTACAGGAGATATCAGTCACCCACCATACCTTTTCCGGGAACTACTTGCTCTACGTTGCTGAGGACTAGGCGAACGGTGTCTAGGTGGGCTGCTTGGACTCTCAGATCTTCTTCTGTCCTTTTTCGTGAGATTACGCTTCTCATCAGGGCTAACACTTCTTCTATAACACGATAAAATTAGCTGTAAATACAGAGCTGAATGTGTGGCTGGACGGTTGGTTGGACGTCTTAATTTTCTTTGTAATTTGGACAGGTTTTAGGTTTTGAATGCTCATAACATTGTTTCTATAGGGTCAAACATCCAGAAACTTGGTCAGTGAGCTTTTTGTATGTTGCTCTTTCTTGTGATATAAGGGTATTTTTTTCGGAAATATTAATTAATTTAGTTTTTGAAACTCGGACCAACTCTTTTTAACTATCGTAATTTCGTTTCAATTTGCCCAAAGAAGAAAAACTGTCAATTCTTACTTGGTCTTTGTATGTTCTTTCTTATGATGAGTGTTCTTTCTAATTATGTCTGTGAATTAAATTAACTTAGGCAAACTTGGTTCCATCCCCTGCCGGTTTCGTTACCAGCAAACTTTGACCCCCCTCCCCCCCAAAAAAACAACAAATGTTAGGTGTCCCACATCCTACTCTGCCTTCCTCTCAAAAACGAATGAGGTATTGTGGTGGTATTTACCTTTTCCCGTTTCTGTCATCTCTCTCCTTTCTTTTAGGTTTTCTCTCCGCACTTTCAGATGGTGATCTCCTACCACAATTAAAATGCAAAAACGGTTGCTTAGAACTATTTCTTTCCTTGTTTTCATTTTACTACCATGTCATTCTGACCCTCCCTAGACTCCTACTAAGCCGTTCCATGGAGGCGTGACGACGACCCAAGCTAAGAAAGTCGTAGAAGGATACTACCCCATCCTCCTTGTCAAAAAAACAAACAAACAAACAAACAACAAACGAGGTATTGTGGTGGTATTTACCTTTTCTCGTTCCTGTCATATCTCTCCTTTCTTTTCGGTTTTCTCTCAGCACTTTCAGATGGTGATTTCCTACCACAATTAAAATGCAAAAACGGTTGCTTAGACATATTCTTTAGGTGAGTGCTTACAACCAATATTGCTGGGTTGTAAAACATAGAACATAGGAGGTGAGTCCCAAAGGTATGCTGGGAAATGACAATTATTATTATTCCCCAATGTATTCATTTGAGATAAGCAGTTGATATGACACGTGTTAAAAGCTTTCCTGCTGTCTGTGAGTGCAAACATACCACAGGTTGTATCACTACATATGTCAACCAGGTACTTCCCATGTACCATTTTGGTCTCAGCTTCTATGTTTTGTTTTTGAACCCAACAATGATTTTGCAATTTAGTGTTATCATATTATGTAATTTATTACTTGTCCCGCTTCTTTTTCCTTTCTCTTTCTTTTCCACRTTTACTAGATTTTCTGCCAGGGCTTTCTGATGGAGATCTACATAAATAATTCAACAGTAAGCTCTCCTGGCAACAAGTTTTACATGAAGGGGTTGTTAATATCATTTCATGTATATCCTTCTTATTTTTTTACAACAAAATGAGAAGTACTGTACCTGCCCCTGGATTGCTTTCTTTCTTTTCTGTGTTTTTTGCTTCTTGATCTTGGAGGTGACTCTTCTTCTGAAGAGCTGCTACTTGATTCTTCAGAGCTATATGAGAAAAAAGGATGTCAAATTGGCTAATCAATGCTAGTATGAACCAATGCAGAAATTCTCATAGATGGCATGTTCTCATTGGTTCACTATAGGTAAATATTGGATGATATTCATGGTTAATAATCATTAATTAATGGCAATGAAGAGAGGAGGAGAGGTGAATGATAGACATTACTGAATTCCCTTGAGTGACCTTGAAATAATGACTTCAAGTCGATGTTTGGATGCTGCCAGTAAATATGCAACTATAACCTTTTTTAATATTTTAGTTAAACCAATCCTGGTAAGGTCTAATGTTGTATTTATTGTTCAAGTTTGCGTTTCTACAAGTATTTCATCCCTTTCCAGTTGATCTGGTTTGATAGTGATATAGAAATAACATCACTGCTAAGTAAGACTGAGGTGTCATGAAGCCTGCAAAAATTGATTAAAAATTAAAAACATGCTCCCCATAGAAATAGAAATATAAGACTCATAAATTATTATGTCACTGTTATAAAGCAAGTATTAGCAACATTATTTTATTTAGTGGCCTACAAATCTGTCATTTTAAGAGGAAAAGTGACACCCCAGTTTTGCAAAATTTCTTGATTCTGATTGACTAAAATGTTTTTAAAAAATAAGGTGTGTTATCCTCCAACATTTTTAAAAATCCATACCTACCAGTCAACAAAAGGTTTAAAATTTCAGCCTCCTGTTCAAGGGTGCTCTACTGTACTGTGCACCCTAAACAACTATTAAAGTTAGCTACTACCAAAATTAATTTCGGTTTTAAATCATTTGACATTTTTTAGTTTGCAAAACTGGAAGCAAGTAAAATTGATTGATTTAATACTTACCTTGATTCTGATTCTGAGCTGGAAGAAGGGGAAGGTGAACGTCGCCTTTTCTTCTTCTTTGATTCCAACTTTTCTTTTTTTAGCCTAATATTAGAAAAAATCAGGTGAAATACTGTTTTACTGTAGAGAGCACTAAAGTGTTACTTAATAGTTTTTCCTCAACCATAATTTTTTAATAAAGATTGAGATTTTGGACTAATAAGTCTATCCTCAAGAGATTGACACATGGTCAGAAATGGGAAATGTTATGCCCGAGGTAAAGAGGTCTGTTGAACACCCTTCATTTTAGAACTGGTCAAAAAGGTGCCACTGTCATTAATAAGCAAACAAGTGATAAGAAAATATCATGCGAGCACAGTTAGCACTCATCTAAAGGAAGTGATACAACTCACCTCATCCAAGCCACAAGAAACTTGTCAACACACAATAATGAATACACTTGAAGATGGGAAATAGAAAACCAAGATAGCTAATTTAGAATCAAAATAATTAAAGAAATACCAGTTTAGAAATTATGCAATTGGCCACTACAAAAAAATACCAAAAATGGGGATCATCTAGTACATCTCATTCATCATGGCATGTTGTCCCATTTTAAACCATGTCATTATTTAGAGTATCATTTCTTTGTTTAACTGTTGCACGCGAGAAGACCCTTGAATATGGACGCAACCTAAACAAAGAATCTTAATTCCGTAGGGAATGACAAGTAGTCTGTAATGGGAAAACATTGCACCATTATATTTAGTGTGTAAAATCCTTTCTCAAGGAAACCATAGGAAAATTATTATTTTTCCCTTAGACTTCATTTTCTTTTACACTGACTCACACAATTATTCTCAAATTGGATAAAATATTTTATTTTGGCATTTTCTTTTTAATTAACTTGAAAAAAAAGCCAGTCAATGGACAATGTTCAGCCACCTCTAACGCCTGTCCTCTTGACAAACCACATTGATTGGTCAGTTATGTTAATCAGTCTAATGTGCATCTGGCCAGTTATGACGCTTAGACACTGACCAGCACACCATTGATGGTTGTAGTGGCCAATACATCACTTGACATCACATGTATTATTAAGTTTTGTATCACAACTTTTGAAAATGTTATGCTGTTCTATGTACTTTTAAAATGTTTTCCTGCATGTAAATGTCATACATGAAGAAAATGAAAAAAAATTTTTTAATTTAAATATAGACTGTGCTATAAAATATGTGAGATTAAGATATGCATGAGAATGAAATTCAGCACGTAGTTTTGTTCTCCTTGGCTCTCTATTTCCCCCCTCATTTATTTCCTTAGAGTACAATAATTTTATAATGGTTTTCACTTGCAGCTTTAACTTTCTCAAGGGTGCGTGTGCATCCAAATTTAAGGAACTTGATGGGCCACAATACCAGAAATCGAGTATTATCATGCATTGCTATAAAAAAATGTCTGATAAGAATTCATAAAATCGATTATTCTCCTCTTTAAATATAAAACTGTCTTCTCAATTTTATTGAATTTGCGCTTTTCAGTTTTGTTGCCCATCAAGTTGGTTTCGCATGCAGCCTTGACAAAACAGTCTATTCATAAACTTTTTCATGGATTGTTATCATAGTAGGCAGTAACCTTAAATGACAGAACATGTAATGACTTGGTCTTTTAAGAAAATGGAAACTCCTTTGATTTTTCCAACTCCTTTCCCATCATACTGATTCTAATATAATTGCCTGTCAAAACTGAACTTAGTTCCGTACCAGTATCCATAGTAAATATTAAAACACTTTTAATTAAAATTGGTGAAATTATATAACATGAATTTCAATACCAACCTTCTTTTCCTTTCCTTTTCCAGTTCTTTTTCTTTTTCCATTTCCCTTGCAATCTTTTCTTCCTCCTGCTTGGCCTTTTCAGCAGCCCTCTGTGCTGCTTGTAGTTCTTGGTTGAATGCTGAACCATCTTTATAGTCTGCCTTGATTCCAAGAGCTCCTTTCATCCTGGAATTTTTCTCTTCTGCAGCCTCTGCCATTTGATGTGTTTCCTTCAAACTAGTGCAAACAAAAATTAAACATATTGAAATACATATGCTTTTTTCATAACATCCATGGAATTGTAGAGTTTCTTAATATATAGGCACTAGTGTTCTATTGGGAAATATGTAGCCAATCATATTTTTCAAATGTGAAAATATTGATGACATCACTCTACATCATTTTCCACTCCATTCCCCCAATCTTTCCCCGCTTACGTAATTCTTTAACAAATTTTTATTTGTAAACAAACTATAGGGATTGGAATACTCTAGGGAATGACACTAGGGCCAAAATGTAGAAACATTGCATCAAAAAGAAAAGTAAAACAGAAGTGAAGAGTTTTATTGTATATGTATAACGTTAACTCAATCACCATTTATATACAATGGATCTTTGTCGCTAAACCTATTTAAGAGATTTATTTTGCAAAATTGTTTTGGCACCCCCCTCTCCCCAGGTTTAAATGAATACAAATACCAACTTTTTTGCAGTCTTTTCTTCCAATGCAGAATTTAGCGTTGTCCTGAGCTGCTCAACTTTTTCTTGGATTTCATCATCATTGTATCTGAAAAATCAAATATTAGCAAGAAAAGTACAGGTTTAGTTTGGAAGACATTTCAATGAATGTGTAGCTAATTTATTTACTCTATTATGTAAAGCATTTTACCCCAAAGACATACATATATACTACAGTGTAGTTATAGAAGGCTTTTAGTGGCATACCATGAAATATCCCACAATTCACTTGTGTTTTCTAGTGTAAACACGAGCCTTAGGTCAAGTTTGTATATCATAAAGACACAAGTGTTAAGTGTGACATTCAATGGTGTGTAATGAGAGAGTATTCCATAGCACTGAAAATACCTAAGCTGCAATGGCTGTTGGGTAGGAACGGTGGAATACATGTACCTCCAAATGTACAATACCTTTCCAACATTCTGACTGTCTGCTCTATTTTCAATTATGGTGTGGGACAAATGCTCATGTTACTAGTTCTTAGAAAATGAAAATAAAAGCCACTGGGTGACTATAGAGAAGTTTTAAATGCAATTAGCTTTCAACCAGAGACAAAAATGTTAAAAGTATTTTCTAACCAAACCGATCAATAATAGGATTTTAATTATACTTTTAAAAGCTTTCCTCTCATCATATTAACCTCAGTTAGACAAACTATCTAGACTGGACTGTAAAATGTGTTCACAACGTCATTCAAAATGACAACACACATGTTGAAGAACCTACCCTTGTTCTTCCATGACATCTTGAAGTTCAAGACACTTCAGTTCAATCTCTCTCTTCCTCTGATGTTCCAAGATCTCCTTGTTTGGTCTTCTCGTGTTTAACTGCTCTAGTTTTTCAAGTTCTTCGTCGTTTCTGTAGTCAACTTTTTCTTTCCTCGAACGAACTGAAGACAAATTTCTTTGCACGTAGCCGTTAGTTCCCGAACCACGAGCAGTCGCTAAGCCAATATTATTGTACATGGTTCTTTTGCTTTGCCTTTAGTTAACTTAATTTAGTAAAAGTTCTTTAAAAAACGAGCTAAAAGAAGCTCTAAAGATGTTTTTTTCGTTTACAACTAAACATGTCTTTCTTGCTCAATAAAGACGCTCGTGCTACGCAGCCAACCTGCACCAAAACGAGGCTAAACACATAGGGAGACCAACACAGAAAAGACGCGATTAAATAACTCATACTGTTAAATGATTTATTTTGAAGCTATTACATAATTTATACACAATAGCATACCCGTATTTTATGAAGTCGTAAAGCAGAGAGGGGAGGGAAGGTAATGGAATGTTGCAAGGTGCTGGATGGAAAAACAAAACAAAAACAAGGGGAGGGGGAGTGGAGGTGAGGGAGGGTAATGGAGGACTTCAAGATTTAGAAGTGGGCCAAGGGGGCTGCAACACCCTTTTGTTTGGGAACTTAGAGGTTCTTCTAACATCAAAGTTTTGCCCCTTTCTGCATTTCCTGGATCCACCCCTGGGGAGAAAATGTGAAGGAACTAACAGGGTGTAGACAAGGTCTCTTCTAGTTTGAGCATGTATTATTACCTGTAGTAAATTCAGCATTACCTTAATCCCATTATTTTGATTATTTAGAATATATCAGATCATTTAACTACATTATGTTTTACTCCAAATTGGAAAAAAATGAATGAAACAGAATTAATGGGATGAATGGATGAGAATAAAATGGTTGGATGAATTAAGACTTATAATAGTTGATAAGGTGTTAACTTTGGTTTTATTTCAGGCACCCAATAGCCAAGCCTTTCCTGTCCCAGTCTGATGTCTGCAGCACTTTAAGGCTTGCATCTGCAACATCTTCACGGGAAATTGTCCAAGAAACCCCATCAAGATACTGACCCTCAGCAAGCTTGTAGTTATTCTTAGCCTTGGCTAGAAAATAAAAATAATGAATAACTTCAGTGTCAGTGGTGGCGGATCCAGCTATGGGGTGCAGGGAGTGCGGACCCCCCTGAGAAAAGCTGACATTTTAAGAAATTGTTGCCTATTAATCTTAATCAATCCTTTGCTCTACACTTATATTTTTTATTTGTAAGTGCTATACAAAAATAATATGCTGTATCTTAGCGTGAATTATTTTGATTTAATATCACATATTAAAATGCTGCTTGCTTAGAAATAACCCTAGAAACTAGAATTTTCTTGTTTACTGACATTATCACTCATTATAATGTCATAAGCCAAATAAGTGCAGCCCCCCCCCCCCTCCCTCTCAAAAAAATCCTGGATCCGCCTCTGGTCAGGGACCAAAACATTTCAAATCAGGGGCAGATCCAGGGGGTGTCCCTAGCTCAGTAGTATTGCTATATTCCCATTACAAGTGAGAGCTGTCTACAGGGGTGGATCTATAGAAAGGATACAGGGTGTGTACACCCCATCCCCCCATAGATGAGCTTACAATTTTTTTATGGAGAATGACTTGATGTATTAACGCACAAATGGTGTACCCCCTCCTAAGAAAATAAAAATCCTGGATCGCCCCTTGTCTATATCATGTATAATTATTACGTAGTACCATTTGACAATCCAGGAGGTCTTATGAATGTATAATTAAAAGATGACTCCTCCAGCATATTTTCCATTAGATGCATATCTCTTAAAAATCCATTTAGAAACAATGGCTTAAGGAACCATTCCATTAATTTCGGGTTGCCAGGCTGTTTGACAGTACACCATGATGTTATTGTCACTACCCTGTTGACCTTTGCCCTGTAGTGATAAATGCATAGATTATGTGTGGAAACATGTATACATGAGAATTCATCAGGTCTCAAAAAATATATTTTAGAGTAGCAGATCTAAGGAGGTGAACAGTGGGACAGGCCCTCCCTCGCAAATTGTGATGTGAGGCTCCCTCTTTTCACAATCCTAGATCCACCTTTGCTATATTTATTTTTTAATTCTGACCTTTCCATGGCAATCATAATGGATTTCATTGATTCACTATACAGTGTTGTTGGATTCAAAGCTGAGGTGTTATGAGCACCGAGGTATGACATCACTGCATTTTGGCCATTTAGGTGTTCAACCAGAGAATCTGGTTCAAATATATTGGCTTTTACCACTTTAAGGTTCTCATTTCTATGAAAATAACATAAGTATGAATTTTGCAATATGGTTATCATTGTTGCCATCATTATCATCACCAACCACAAATGCATCACCATCAACCAGCACTGTCATCTTCATCATCAACCTTTATCAAAGCACACAAAGTATCTTATTATCTTTTATCAATGCTTACTTCTCAGGACCATTACCATCAATCATGCCTCTATTATTTAAAAACAATGTTTATCAACAAAGCAACCTGCACAAGGGCAGATCCAGCCAAAATTTTAGGGGGGGCTAATTGAGTTTCTTCCGTCAACACAACGAAAAACAATTAAAAAAAACATCCAGTTTTTTTTTTTTTTTTTCTGCGGAAGGGGGGCATCAGCCCCCCTCCCCCTCCCCCCCCCCTGGATCCGCCCTTGCTGCTCTTTTTTTAGGTGTCAAGATGATAATATTTACTGGATGTCTTTCAATTTCTCAGGACTTCTGACTAAAGTAGTGACATTATGCCCAAGCTCCAAAGCTCTCTTCACCGCACAAATACCAGTTGGTCCTGTTGCACCAAACACGGCTAAGCGTGGACGTGCAAGGCTTGGAGAAGCAGCCATATCTAGTTAGAAAATTGAAACGATTAATTAAAAATTGGCTGCAAAAGGCGTTTCCAAATACTCAAGGAAACAAACTTGATAAAACTTAAAAACTATAAAAAATTATATGCCATCTTACAGAATCTAAAGCTCCACGATCGCCAAAATATTCCAGCAACAAAGATCGAATTTATTTTCTAGAATCCTTACCCTGACCACCCTTGGGTTCCTTGTTGTTATTGACAATATTGGGCTTCCTGTGGTCTAATGGAAACGCTGCTGGTCAAAAGGAACGACGTGCTCATTCCTATAAAACGTGATTCGTGGATATGCGAATTTTCGGATAATTTGCCGGAAAAAAATCGTCTTTTTACAAAGATACGGCAGTCAAATCTAGATTAAAACATGGTAAGAGTTTTATTGATGATTCTTTTTTGAAACTGAATCGCTATATTTTGCCTCTGTGCTGAAGTTCTATTCAAAATCGTGTTTTTTCTCCTTGACAAACGACTCTTGACTCACGGCACTGAAGTTTTTACTGTAATGATCATTCGATCTAAAAACACGTGAAGATTGATTTTCTTGATAATATTCAATTCCTAAGCCACAGAATGATAATTTTTTGTACAAGAATCGCAATGGAAGGGTGATCAACAAAGTCTTGACTCTAGTGTTAGCATTTTGTAGTGAAAGTTGGGACATTTCAATCTCACATTAATTTTGCTTCTTTTTGATTCCAACAAGATGTGGTGTTTTAGATTTAAGATTCATTGGCTTTATAAATGTTTAGTTATTCTCATTCATTGTTTTGAATATACACAAATTATATTGCTCTTGTATGTGTGGAAAATAAAAACCTTTGAACCTTCATACAGAAACCTATCGTACTCCATGGACATGAGAGGTCCATCACTCTCATCAAATACAATCGCATGGGGGATCTTCTGTTCTCATCTGGAAAAGACACCAAACCAAACGTCTGGTATTCTCTGAATGGTGAAAGACTCGGCACATATAATGGTCATGGTGGTGCTGTGTGGTGCTTTGACATCAACTGTATCCTTGTTTAATGTAAAAGGTTTATAGGAAGGGGAATTACTAAATGTTTTTTATTGATCTCTAGTGTAATGGCCTAGTGTAATGCTTCTTAGTAAGAACATGTTGCATTCTGGTCTAGCTTGGGTGAAAAGTAATAAAATGAAAACAACTATATTTAATGAGTCAAAGGCATTTTTTATCTAGCCTATTTTTTTCCTCATTGTTCTCTCCAAGACCTAAGAAAGTACTTTTTATGTTGCTGTTTGAAATAAAACTAGTAAAGTATACCAGTCTTCAGTCTTACAGACTCTAATAGAATTATTTGTCTGACATTTCCTGAAGATCCCTTCCTAGCTCTTTAAACCTTTTGTATCCTTAACTTAACAACAATCAGGGGAGTCGACAAAATTCGCATCCGGAGCAGCTGATAACAGTTTGCGATTATGGGACTGTGAACTGGGAAAGACTATTTCAAAATTTGAAACATCGACAGCAGTCAGGACGTGTAACTTTTCATACTGTGGAAACAAAATTGTGTTTACGACAGACAAGCAAATGGGTCATGACTGCCATATGATAATGCTTGATATCAGACAAGGTTAGTCATGTGTAATTGTTTTACAGTTCCATTCAATGACCACGAATAATAGTTCCTAGCCGAGGCTGGAGTTTCCGAGCATAGCAAAACTACACTATGTTTATCATGCGTGGTAACTCCAGCCTCAGCTAGGAACTATTATTCTTGGTCACTGAATGGAGCTGTAAAATGGAGTATTCTCTATTGCTCAGGGTAAACCTCAATTGTGTAATTAGGTCTGTAATTAAGGGATAAGATCTAATGATATTTCAAGAGTTTGATTAAAAGTGGATTGGATTGTGATTTTTGTCAGGGGAGAAAAATTGGAGAATCTTGAGAAAACCCCTTGAAGCACAAGAAAGAACCAACTGGAAGCTCTATTCACATATGGATTTGTGTCTGGGAATCAAACCTGGGTTGCACTAGTGAGAGCCAAGTCCTCTTACCAATACTTCTCTAAACATCTGTTACTCTGGCCAATCAAAGCAAAGGATGATGCAATGTTTACTAATACTATTTCACCATTAGACTGAAAAGCCTTAATGTGAGTTTTTCTTCTCTTGCAGATTTTAACACACCAGTGTTTAGCATTCCAGTTCCTCATTCCAAAGTCACATCATCTATCTGGGGACCTCTAGATGACATGATTATCACAGGGCATGACAATGGAGAACTTATCCAATGGGACACAAAGGTATGACATTTTATGAATTTTATTTGTAAAGTTTTATATATATTTTTGGTAGAGAGGGGAGGGTGATGGGACCCTTCCCTAGGTTCCTCCAGCCCTATCCTCTTCAAAGAAGTGAAAACTCCCTTATAGACTCAATGGAGGGAGTAAGTTGAAGGGGTCTCCTGACACCAATTTTTTTAATCATCAACTTAGTCTCAATGCTCTTTGCACTCTCAACAGTCCTTTCCTTTTACCTAAATCTTCATTTCTGTCTCTTATCTTCTGCAGTCAGGGGAAAAACTTTACAACAATGTTCAGGATCATAGCAAGGCTATAAATGATATTCAGATGTACAAAGATGGTACTATGTTTGTAACAGCATCCAAAGACACTACTGCCAAGGTTAGATCTTAATAAATATCATTTATTATTAATTTATATTTAAAATAAGAGTCCATCTTTAATCGCCTCCCCCTACATGTCAAGGATGCCAACAAAAAAAGAATTATACATCATACCAGAAGGATTCTGAACTGAATCTGGACATATAGAGCCTAGCAGTGTGCAGGCCGTTTGTCATAGTCTTTCCTGTAGCTCAGTGGTAGAGCATCCAACCGGCATCTGGAAGGTCATGGGTTCGATTCCTATAAGGGGACTATGATTTTTTTCCGAGTTCCTTTCAACTAGTGACAAATAATAAATTATTTCCATAAAAAAAGATTTAGTTTGACTGGAAACCAATTGAAGTTAATTTGTGTTTGATGATTTTGAATTGCATTTGTTGCAGTTGTTTGACACTAATACCCTTAATCACTTGAAGACCTACAAGACTGAGAGACCAGTCAACTCAGCTGCATTATCGCCCATCAAGAATCATGTAAGGACCTGGTTTGCTTAATATAAAAACATGGAATTTCAGACTCAATAGACCTTGCCTGGAATTGCTTTAGTGACTATGAATTGTACCTGATAAATACAGTAAATGTATGAACACATCAAGTCCAACCTTGTTTTGGAGCCATTGTTTTGTGCTCACTCAATTGAATTTTTGAAAGGACTACTCGACTACTGTCGTGGGCTATTTATGTAACATGTGCCAGTAAAACCATTGGACATATGGGTTTCAAAAAATGTCAGATTCTGCAAATAGTTTTGGAACCAAAAGAACTGGGAATCTTTGGTTTAGTCATACTGGTTTTTTTTTTTTTTTTTTTGTTCTTTTGAAAAATCAAAAAAATGTCAAAGATTGAGAGAATGACATGCATTACTTTTACTAAATTGACTTTGCAAAAATAGTAAAATTAGATAAACTTTTTTTCTGTATTCAGGTTTGCATAGGTGGTGGCCAAGAAGCCATGGAGGTCACCACAACCTCCACAAGAATAGGGAAGTTTGATGCTCGGTTTTACCATACTATTTTCGAGGAAGAGATTGGCAGAGTAAAAGGTCATTTTGGGCCAATCAACAGTCTTGCCTTTCATCCAGATGGTCGAAGGTAAGGATAACTCAACACCATGTACATAATGTTTTCATTCCTACGCACTGACTGAGACAACATTCATAACATGGAAATCATACACTACCATTAAATCAGTTTATTTGAAGGTATCAAACAATTTATTTGATTACAAGTAACGATAGTCTATTGCCCAATTTCCATGTCATGAATGCTTTTTTGATCAGTGTGTAGCAATGAGAACAGTAGTAATATTATTCACTGGCAAGTTACAGCTTGTAACATTGCCATTGGGCCTATCTCCAGTGTAATATAATCCATACAGCACAGCTGTCATCACAGCACCAAAAAACAATACAAGCTTTAAAATCTTATGGAGCAAGTCACAATAGATATAACAAAAGACAAGCATGAATTATATTACACTGGAGGTCACCTGGCCTTTGGCACCATTGCTACCATACCACCAACATGGCCACTATGTCTTTGACTCTCTTGAAAATGCTTGCAAACCATTTAATTCTTATCTCGTTTTGTTTTGTTTACAGCTACAGCAGTGGAGGTGAAGATGGTTATGTACGAATACATGTCTTTGACCCCTCATATTATGAGTTAGAGTTTGAGAGTTAAGCTAATAAACATAAATTCAAAACTAATTTCAGTTTTTTTTTGGTTGTTATTCTAGTGTTAGGACTAAAGTTTACAATATGAGTGGCCATGTTGTATCTGCAAACAGCATATTATTTTCAATAACGTCAAATGCTTTTCATCTACAATTGGCTGACTTGTCCCCAGTCATCTCTCTTATGAATGCAAAGGGAAGAGGAAGAGACGTCATCTCTCTTCTTTCCCCCTTCCCTTGACCCTTTGTAAGCGCTCTTAAGATAAGAGATGACTGGGGATGAGTCAGTACAATTGACCTAATTCACTATGACGTCACTGCTTGTTTATGTCGGGGATAGAATCGCCAAATCCAATAGAAAATTCAACTAAATTTGCTCCTAGCGAAACAGTTTAATCTAGAATGGCCTGGTTTTCAGATATAATATGTGTTAATATGTACTAAAAAATATTCTGAGCGTTTGCTGGCTATTCTACTTCTCTTCGTGGAATGATACGGGATTTAGAACAATTTTTGGTTAGTTTGCATTGATTTGACCCCGTCCGATGACCATGATCCTTTGCGTTTAAACAATAGATTGTTGAATATTGTTTTGATGTGATGTCATAGTGAAGGAGGGCAATTGGTGAGAAACATGGGTGGTGTGGTTGTTTTTTGGTTCTCTCCCTTGATTCAAGAGTTTTTCTCTGCATTCTCCAGTTTTCCTCCCTCCTTAAAAATCAACTTCTAAATTGAGCTTTCATCTAGTGATTGTCCCATGTTTTGACACAACAGCTGAAGCTGGAAGAATTTCCAACAGATACAGTGCTTGGGCTTCCTGTGCTTTCTTAAAGGATTTTTTCTCCCTTCGCAAAACCTACCAACAAACTAAATCCAATTCAAGCTTTGAGTTAGTTTTGCACTGACTTTGATCAAACCAGGGGTTCTTTCAGAGTATTGATAAAATTTGAAGGCTGCCACTCTATAACCCTCCCGACCCCTGTCACTGAGACTTGATTACTCCCACAATCCTTTTCGTTATTCCCGGGGTCTTGCTTCAGAAGTTTGTGAAGGTTCATGAGAACATACCGTAAATACCGGTATGAGTGCACCAACAACTTCTTCCAGTAGTGGCGATCCAAGCTCACACTCTTCTTCTTCCCAAAGTCAAAGCCAATCCGTCCCATCTACTCTTGACACTGTGTCTACACAAGACGTTGTCGATGGACTTGACGATGGTCTTGTGGAGACTGAACAAAATGTTCCTCAACCTTGGGGTCGATTATATCCTATTGGAAAAGGCTTCAAGCTATTCGGTAAGATAGAGATGTCCAGTGTTTAATCTAGACTTTAATGATAGAGGTTTGGTCTTGGACTGAGATCCTTTCTGCTTGAGCTGAAGCCAAGTTTTTACGAGTCAATGTGCTGTCAAGCACATGGTACGAAACGTGTATAAGCTCGCCTTACTCAAGCTTATTTTATCATTGAATTTTATTAGATTGTAAGGAATGAGAAGCTAAGTATTTTTTAACACTGCTTGTGTGGCGTGCAATGTCGCTGAGATTTGGAGGAAGTGTTTTCAAGGCTTTTTTAAGACTAGTGTTTTTGTTTTGAGAAGATTTGACAAGAAACCCCCTGGGGACTGGGAGTGGGGACGGAAAGCAAAATTTCATGAGGAAGCTAAGGCTCATTAGTATGTATGTGTTGTCGTACAATCTCTTTTAACGATTCTCATTGGCTACCTCTTTTTCATTGATATGTCCTGATCAAGCCGAACATTTTTCAGGACTCCTTTTGACTAGCAACTGACTGTAACTACTCTAATGTTTTTTTTTACCTTGAAACAGAGTGAAGGCTTTTAACTTGTGAAAAAAAATGTTGCATGCTAAATCAATAAAGTTATTTATTTAAATTTACTTATATTTTATAAACTGACTTATCAATATTTCTTGATTGCAGTATAGCGAAGCGAAGCTTCCCCTGGGGAAACATTGAGACTCTAAGGAAAACAAAACCATCTCCCTCATGACCAGTTCAAATTCAAACCTGTAAACATTTGCAGGGGCCACATGCGATCTTTAAGCACCTATTTTTTTGTGTAGAGCTGTATGATGATGACTATTCTTTTGGTCGTGGGTCCATGAACAAAATGCAGTTTGATTCAAGAGATTTTCAAAATAACCCTCACTACCAAGCATTAAGTACAAAACATTACAAGCTTTATAGGGTAGGTACAGGTCTCTAACAGACTATAGATATCATAATTTAATCATGATTTTAGAAGCTTGGTGCTATTGATATGTAGTTAACAATGGGTATAGGAAGGGTCTGACAGTGATAGACCAAAGGAGCAGACACATGGTATTGCAATATTGTGTACAACAAGATTTTTGCAGTATTTGTCCACCTCTGAAACTTGTCACACAACATTTTATATTGCCCACAACATTTGAGTTAAATTACGCTCTACTTCTGCAACATGCCACTGCATGCAACAAATTTCATCATGTGAAAACAGCTGCAATGTTGTTTGCAATATTTTGACATTTTTAGCCAATCAGATTGCACTATAATGAAAACTGCTGACCCAAATTCTTAGTATAGCAGGCATGGTTATCAAAGGAAGAGACCATATTGGAATGATATTGCATGATTTTGTTGTGTGTTACTATACCCCAATTTAAATTCGTTGGATGCATCATTGCCCACTGTGTCCAATGTGCGCTAAGGGGAAGGCCCCATGCAGGGTTCCTAATTTTGAGTTTCAACAGCTATATATACAGGGCTGTCAACTCTCCTGGATAAAGCGGGAGTCTCCAGATTTTGGACCGTGTCTCCCGGTCTCCAGATTAGAGTATCAAATCTCCCGGATAATCCCCGAAGCTGACCATTTCTTGTCTTGTGAGACTAGACTTTCACAACCATAAAATTCCAATTATTTCATGTTGTTTGTGTTATTTTATATCGCTAACAAAATCAAAACGTTCCTCATGAACTGTTCTTGCAAGCAGGCCATTGTAATATAAGTGATAATCTGATTGGTCAGAAATAAACCAATCGCATCAAATGTTACAAAGCGAAAGACGTCTTTTCGCGCGCTTTTTGACGCGCTGTGACGTCATGTCCCTTCCCTATCAATTCTCCAGATTTGAATATCTTGGGGGTTGACAGCCCTGTATATATATGTAGTACTGATTGGATCTTATTGTTGAACTTCTTTTAGGAAAAGAATAATAGTGGATCATATGACATGTTTTTGACAGATTTAAGGTATATAACTCTAGTTAACATTAGTTAACATTAACATTTCATATTGAGTTTCCCAATACTATGAATCACCATTAGTTTAATAAAGAATATTTAAATTTTTGTATTCTTTTTTTTAGTTCTAATGGAACATTTCTGAATGGAGAAAAAATTGGTATGGAATTATGGTAGAGAATATTTTGTCAGTTTTGTTGAAGACCTAATTTAATCATTATATTGAAACACTTTATAAAAGTTAAAGTTACTCTAGTACTTAATCCTAATCATGATATTTTTGATTAGGTCGAAACCAAACCCATGTTATACATAATAATGATGAAATCAGTCTGTCAGTATTATCAAACAAGGGTAAGTATTATTAGATATAAGATATTACGATTCATTTATTGGGTTACAATTTATGCCTTTGCTACGATTGTTACCTTTCCAGCATACATCTTTCAAGAGCTGGGAAAAGCAACTCAGGATTTAGAGACCCTCCCTGAGGTGAGGACCTTTAAGTTTGGAATTAACAATGTGAAGAAATAAGTAGTTGTTATTTAAGACCATTATTAAATGAAGAATTTTCATTCACAAACTTGAACCTCAAGTTGTCATTTTTGTCCTTTATATTTCTAGGGCTTCAAATCTAAATATATCTTGTCAAAAGTGTTGGGCAGGTAAGTCAATTCTTTTGTATGCAGGCAATGTACAGGATCTGGGTTTTGTGGTACAGTTTGTTCCCTTGTGTTGGAAATATGTGGGGTGTTGGTAGAGTATTGGTAGGGAAAGGTGGTACGAAGGGTGTTGGTAGGGTAGGGTGTTGATAGGGTGTCAGTGGGTAGGGTGTCAGTAGGGTACTGATAGGGTATCAGGAGGTTGTTGGTAGAGTGTCAGGCAGTTATTGGTAGGGTGTCAGTAGGTTGTTGGTAGGGAGTCAGTAGGGTGTTTGTAGGGTAGAGGATTAATAGGGTGCTGATAGGGTATCAGGAGGTTGTTGGTAGAGTGTCAGGCAGTTGTTGGTAGGGTGTCAGTAGGTTGTTGGTAGGGAGTCAGTAGAGTGTTGGTAGGGTAGGGCATTAATAGGGTGCTGATAGAGTATCAAAAGGTTGTTGGTAGGGTATCAGTAGGTTGTTGGCAGGGTGTCAGTAGGTTGTTGGTAGGGAGTCAGTAGGGTGTTTCTGGGGTAGGGGATTAATAGGGTGCTAATAGGGTATCAGTAGGTTGTTGGCAGGGTGTC